CGCGGCGGCGAGGAAGGTCGCCAGGCAGGCATGGCGAGGCGCGGCGGGGGACGCGGTCAAGGCGAGCTGGAAGGACAGCATGAGCGCGGAGGCGAGGTACGGGCGCGCCGTGTCGTCGGCGACGATGCGGCCGACGGTCGGCGTGCTTCCGGGGGAGGACGCACCGGAGGCGCCGTTCCCGCTGCGCGTGGCGGGACGGGTGGTGCGCGGGACGGGGCGCACGCGCGCGCGGTACGGCTTTCCGACGGCGAACTTGTCCGGCGTGCCGGAGGAGCTGACCGCGCGGGTGACGGGCTTCTTCGCGGCCTGGGCGTGCCTGGACGACGGGCCCGCGTGGTGCGAGGCGGTCGCGCGCGTCGGGCCGGCGGAGGACGCGGCCCCGAGCGTGGCGGCGAGGGGCACGGTGGCGGTGCACGTGCTGCGGGACATGGAGGGCGAGGAGCTGCGCGGGCGGACGCTGCGGCTGCTGCTGATGGGCTTCCTGCGGCCGCTGACGGACGGGGACGGGGACGGGGACGGGGACGAGGACGGGACGGGGGAGGATGCCGCGCTGCAGGGCCACGCGGATGACGTGCTGACGACGCTGGCGAGCCTGGCCAGGGAGGGCTGGCGGCCGGAGGGGATGGGGAGCGAAGGGTGGTCGCTGGACGGCGTGGCGGGGAGGTTGGCGGCGAGGGTGGACGCGCTGCCGGTGCACAGGGCGGGGATACGCAGCGAGGCGGGAGCGATGAGGGATGTGAGCTTTGGGAGGGGAGGGCTCTGGATACCGAGATAAGTGGTGTGGTGATGGTTGGGGTGTGTTGTGTGGGTGTAGATGGTGGTTGAGTGTAGATGGTGCAACTGACTGTCGACGGGAGAGTGCTTGACAGTTGTGTATGATGGTGTACATTAGGTTTCATATACTAGGTAATCAAAAGTCGTACTACATTGCTGAATTAGCAATGCCTTTGGCAAGTAATTCAAGGTTGAATTGGACTGTTATATGCACAATGTTTCCTACGGTCTTCACTGTTGACATCATCTACAGGTCACGACATCCATGGCATCCACGTGGAAAGTCAAGTCGGATAATTATCATTCAATTCTCATATCCATACCCCTCACCGCCGCCACGCCAGACGGGAATCCCGGAACGTGTGTGTACTTTTGTCCTGTGCAAACCAAAACCATGCAGTGCTCAAAGAACCCCAAATAACTATACTCTTGCGCAGAAGAGAGCCAATAAAGAAGAATAGGAAAAGAATAAAGCCATAACAATACTCACGCTCAAAAGGCAAATGCAAGCCGAAAAGAGCGCATAACCATGCAAAACTATACTGCAAGAAGCAAAAAAAACTACCGGCCGTCATTAAAACATCATTATCGATAGTGGAATTAAACAATCGCCAAACTCCATATGCTGAACAGCCGTCGAAACGCTCTCCGACAGAATATCCTGACAGACAGGTCAACAGACACACCGCATTGGCTAGCCCTTGTCCAGAGGAGGCTATCCCCGGATCGCAGTCGCCGGCACAAATCGGCCGGGCGTCTGTTGCGCTTGCAGAGCAACATCGGCCGCCGTCGTCCCCGTGGCTGGTGTGAAGCTGGGAGACATGGACCGCAGCGTAGGCTTGGGCAACACGTATTCAGCCGTCTTCATCGTGGCAATGCTGTCCTTGTTCGGTGACGCGGGCGGTGATACCTCGTACTTTTCGAGTATCTGCGCGTCGGCCGTGTCAACCTTGGGCCGCGCCGGCGTCTCCTGGGGGGAAGACTTGCCGCCGAAGAAGCAGTACTTGTTGACCAGCTCCTCGTACGACGAGCTGGCAATGGCTGTACCGGGCGCCGCCACCACCACAGTGTGTGGAGCGCCGAGGTTAGAGAGCAAGGAGCCCTTTGTGTTGCTCTTCATGTACAGAGTGTCGGCCTCCTTGGGAGACGAGTCCTTGCGAGACTTGACAGCATCTAGTGAGGCGCCAAAGTCGTAGCGGTTAGCAAACGCGGCTCCGCTAGGCGTGGCAAGCGACTTGATCATGTTGTCGCTGGCCAGGTTGTTGAAGGACTTGGACTTGAGACGTAGGCCGCTCCCACATTCGCCCAGATACTCGTGCAAAGGCTGGTCGAATCGGAAGCCCGGCTCGTCGGCAAAGTCGTCGAGCGACGCAGGCATCGAGACTGGCCGGGGGGTAGTGCTGTGGCTCTGACGACGGCTGCTGCGCGGCAGACTACCAGGCGCCTTGTTAGTGCCGTTAAACTGACCCTTGCCGCGTTGAGGCAGGTACTTCTTGTGGAAGTCAACCTGGAAGTTGGAGCCGCTGTTGTTGTCCCAGTATTCCTGGCCATTAACCAGGTAGCGGATGCACAAGAAGAGCGTCTTGCACTCCAGGTTGGCCGTGTCAGCCAGCTGGATGGACACGGTGAAGCGGTCGTGTCCGGGTGTGCCCTCGCGAGCGTCAATGGGGCAGGTATACTCTCCCGTCACCTCTGAGGTCGTCTTCCACCCATCAAGGGTGAAGCGGCAAGTGATGAGCTTCTCAAAGGTGAGGTTGGCGACGCTGATGGACGCCTGCAGGGACTTTTGATCCTTGGACAGCCACACCTTTTCCAGACGAGCGGGCAGGGCTCGGCGGATCAGGTTGTTGTCGTGGGGAAAGTTGGTGGTGGCGAGCTCCCACTCGAACGGAGGAGTCCTCGTCTTTGGCCCGCCCGGGAAGGGGTACTCATTGTCGCTCTCATACGCTTCCACTGGGGAGGACCCGGCACTGACAGCCAAGGGCCGGTCAACCTGGAGGAAATGGCGGACATGCTCGAGGTGTGAGTCGAAATGGACGGCCTTGGAGAAGACGGGGGTGCCGGGCATGCTCGAGGGACGGCGGCGGGAAGAACCACGCAGGGCCGGTCGCACCAGTTCGCCCGACTTCTTCCTGACCATTTGCGGCTTATAGCGTAGGTCCTCCTCAGACTCGGAGGAAATGGTAGCCGAGGTCTCGGCCGATGCAGAAAAACCGGCATGAGGCTCAGTCGCAGAGCGGCCGTGACTTATATGGCGGCCAGGACTCCCAGGGTATGGCGAGAGAGCAGTTGTGCTGAAGCTGATGCGCATGGGCGACTGGGAAGGGATGCCGTAGGCGGAATAGGCCAGGTTCTCATCCGAGGACAAGAGCGTGCCCTGTGACAACTGGCTGACGGCATCGCGGAGATCCTTTAAATCGTCTTGCGACGAGGATTTGAACTCGTCATCACTGCCAGATGCGGACTCGGGAGGGGAGATTATGGCGCCAGCGGGGATGGGGCGGATATCCGTGACGGGGGGAGGAGACTGTCGCAAGCTCGAGTTCGGAGGGTGGACGGGTGTTGGTTCGGGGCTGACGGTTGTGATGGAGGGTGTGCGACGGTGCTTGTTTAGGTACGAGGCCGAGTGCGGAAGTGAGGGACGAGAGCCATTGTGTATGGAGGATCGTCGACTGACGTCTGGAGAGACGGAAATAGAAGAGGCGGGTGACCGAGATGGCGGCGTATAAGGCATTGCCAGAGACGGGCAGCGCCCTCTCGCAAGACAGTCGACTATGTGTGGTAAGGGGAGGGAGGGACGATGATTGGATGTTGTTCGACTAGCAGTGCCTATATGAGAAGCACTGTAGGATGGAGCTCGCGAATAAGTTGATATGGAGATTCGGAGATTAATACATGAGGGTAGGAGGTAGGAGGGTGAGATGTCCAAACGGCTCTAGGAACTGGAGGAGGCGTTAGCGACGGAGTTTCAGTTGATACAAGCGTGGTCGAAATGAACAAAGGTCGCAGAGTGATTAAAAAGCACGAATAGATGTACAGAGGAAGCAGGACAAAACCAATTGCGAGTCGTGGATGGTTGGTAGTGGCGGATTGAACCTACGTCGGAGAGGTCGGGTGCGCTGCAGGTGGATGGAAGCGGCCACACAGGAAACAAGGTTTGGGCAATATTCCAGCAACCAAACCAGGTATCCGTACAATGTGCGGTAATCAGGGCACGCTCGATCGTAGACGCTGAATGAATATTTAGAGGAGAGGAACAAGACGACGGGGAGGCGCTCGTTGAGGGTATAAAGAGGAGAGGAGAGAATAGAAAAGGACGAGAATGTTGGTCGTCGAGTCGCAGGTGGCGGAGCAAACGGCGAAGGCTGCAGCGACTGTAAGTGAATTCCGGACTGGAAGCGACGAGGGGGATGATCGAGGCGAGAGACAAAGATGCGGAAAAGGGACCCAAAAACCCAAAACCAGCAAGTATAAAAATGACCAAATGAAGAGAGGTCTATGAAATCAAGACACAACCCCTCGACCTTGACGAGAAAAGGAAAAAAGACCTTGGTCCTGCGAGGAGGAATGACGAGAGAAGAGGCCGTGAGGAAAAACGGGGTGGGGGAGGCGTGTTTTTGATGTTTTGGGTGAGATGGCGCTAAATGAGTTTTTTACAAGGCCCGTAGCAGTGCTGAAGGACGCTAGGCGACAGGGGGAGGAGCTGTCTGGGGGTTTTTTTTTCTTGTTTAGCGGACTTTCGTGGTTGCAGGGGGTTGTGATTAGCGGTGGTGGTGCCCTGGAATTGGAGGACGATGGCAGTGCTGAGATTGATGAAGTTGGCGGAGGGAACCGCTGGAAGATGCCGTGAGCGATGCTATTAGCCAGAGGCTGTACAGGTGAGGAGGCTATGATGAGTTTAAGTGAAGCAGAGGAAAATGGAAGAAGTCTGCAGGTTGTTCAAATGCAATACAAGATTTATGTCCGTACATGCAATCTAATTCTCTGCATCAAATTTAATCCAATGCAATTCTCGCATCTCCTTGCAACTCCAGTTGCCCTGCTTCCTGCTTCCATCTTGCTGCATGCCACGGCCGATGGCGCGCAGGATGTTGGGGCGCTTGCGTTTTTAGCGGGTCAATTAGCCTGGCGAGTGGGCCGATGCTGTGAAAATCAGAAAAGAAAAAAAATGGAATCCCGGTTTCTCATGATGGATGATGCCCGCGTTTGCTCCTTCTTCCTTGTCAAATGCATGCCATTGTCGCTGCCGCGTCTTGGCCTTGACCGGCACCTGTTTTGAGGCTGTCATCATCCATCAAATATCCAAGCCATTACATCAGTATCTCGCCTCGAATCCGCGGCCGCCATCACCGCCTCCCGTTCCGGCCGCTAACTTGCCTAGCAACTGCCTACGACCGTCTTTGCCACCGAGCCTACGAGCCCACCAAAGAAAGCCACACACCATAACCAAACACCAAAACCACGCCATCCAAGTAGTCTTTCAAGCCATCCCCAACCAATGCAAGTAGGACCCTGCAAGGTGGCAAATGGTCGATGGCAAATGGTACTCCGTAGATGGCAATGGCAAGTACACGGCATACCACATCAAGCATTCCACCTCCATCAGCATTGCCATCAACAGGCTGCCAACCAGTCAGTCAAAAACTTCCGCGGCTGCATGCATGCTCGCATATACTCCGTACAAATACTGGGTATGTATACAGTATCAAGTGTCACGCCATTCCGCCAGACAATAAGCACCGCCGTCCATCTCAGCCTCTGATGCCCACACCTTGGCACGACATCCCTCGCGACTGCTTCCAGGATAAGCCAGTCTCCCTACCAACAAGAATAGTCGATATGCCCTCTAGCCCGGGGATCTGGACCCTGGATCTGAAGGGGTTGCTCGGAAAAGTCAAACGTCGTCGTCCACACGGCCTAGCCTTGGAATTTTGCGACTTGGACCTGTCACTTGCGCTACGGAGATGGATGCAGCATTGGCAATGCCATGCACGGTCCCCATCCATCGTAACCGTCGCCCAACCCTCCCGCTTGCCGACGACAAGGGATGGACAGCTTTGACTTGTTTCGACTCAACCGCGACTCTGCACTGCAACAGCGCGTACCCTTCTGCTACTTGAGTATTACTATACGATGGGTCCGTCCGCATGCATACTCGTAGCTCAGAGTCAATTGGAGGCACGAGTTGGAGGGTTAGGTATTCCAACCTTGTCTTGGCCCTTGTCCTGGCTTCTCCCCTCTTCCCCCTTTACACCTCGACGCCTCGCTCTCGCCCTGGCCGCTCCGGTCTCCAACCGCCGGCTCCGGCACTGGTGGGGCTATCGAACCATGGTCCATGTACCAAGTAGCGACTGGTCTGGACTATGAGCTGACAGGACGTGTCATCTGTCGTGTCTTTGAACAAGCTTTACTGGGATATCTTGTCGACTATGAGATGGCGAGACCCGACGTTCCTCGCTCTCTGGAGAGTATTTACGAAGCATACCATTGCCTCGCAGCCCTGGCCGCGGAGTAGGCACCGTTGATGACTATTAACCCTTGACAACCAGCATGAGAAAGCCCACTTGCACACCGGCCGCCGCCGCCGCCTTGGTTTGGTTTGACTGGTGCGACGCTAGCCTGTAGCTGTGGTGTTCGCTTGCCAGCATCGCGCCCCCTGTCGGGGCTGATATGACTGGGACTGGCTATCATTTGGAGGCAGTTATCTGTTATCACCAAGACGGACTACTAATGTTATAGGTAACTAGCAATGCGGTATTAGCCCGCCCTCATAATGCTTACTCGCTGTTGCGATGGCGTTGATCTGCTTATCAGGCGGTCCCCCTTCTGTGGCGCGGACCAGTCGTTTTGGGACGACACCTGAGGAGCCAGCCCCTCCAGCTGAGACACCAAAAGCGCGAGACCTAACCCATCGGAAGGAAGGTAGCGAGTTAGCTGGTTCAGAGGAAGCGACTTGGCTGCAGCTATCGTGGCATTGTTTACTCGGCGTTTGGGCGTGGTGGTTGTTAGTCTACTAGTAGGTTGGCAGCAACTAAGATATGTAGATGTCTGGTGTCGTGGCTCCTCATCGTTCTCCATTGAAAGTGAATCCCACGGGGAAAAATGGTCGACGCTGGGTCAATACCCCCCGTTGTCAATAAGATCTGCTCCAGAGAAACCCAGCACGCTTCGACCCGGTCCCAGTTGCAGCAAAGTTTTCTTCAATTCATCGCAAAAAACTCTCAAGATAAGGCTGCACTGCACAGGCCATGCCGGGATTAGTGGGGCTGCGGACTAAGCCCGCCTGGTACCGAATCTCTGGGCAAAAAAGCCAGTCCATGCGAAAAAAGAGGAAAAAATGAGAGAGCAAAAAGAAAAAAGAAAAAAAAAATTGTCTTGCCTGCAAACGAGCTGCGAGCAGGTGGGGCACTTTATCCTTTCGCTACTGGTAGTCACCTCCACCTCTACCTTGGCTGCGGAGTACCTTATCCGTTCTTTTCTTATCATTGCCTTTCAACTCTATTATCACCACTGCAGCTAAAACTTTTCCTGGCCTCCTTATCCCGTCCTCCACCTCAACGGCCGACAAGTGTCGCAAGTCGTGCATCTCCACGGATCTAATGTTTCCTCCCTACCAATCACCACCTCCTACTACCCCAACAAGAGACAAATATCCATCCGGAGTGCACTTGATACCCGCCAGGCTGTCCATTCGCATCAAGACATGGCCATCCACACAACCGGGGCAACAAGGCACCCACATACAAACACGCATCCAGTCAACTCCCGTCACCACCATCACCGCCATCAATATGGCACGTATGGCCATCACCACACCATCACGCCGTAGCCGCCGTGCCCCTCGTTCAAGCGTCGCCCATTGCCACCGTTTTAGTGTCTATCGGTGCGTCTACTAAGCTATAACCAAGACGCCACATCTCAGCCGTCCCCCTCGTTGGCTGGTCGCCTTCCCAACAAGACGGCGACCTTCACACCACCACGCATTCCTGCCTGCCTCGAATTTCGCGCGGAGCTCCCCCGACCCGACTCGGAGGAGGCCTGCGACGGTTGCCCCTCGTCCAATATTGCCAGCCGTGGTTATCCATTGCTTCCTACTAATTAACTACCAAGACGTACAGACCCGTCGGCCGTCAGCGGGGGTGTTTCAAGACCACAGTCGGTACGCATCCATCATCATAGATACAGAAAGAAAACTCGCATCGCGATCGCAGAAAAATCCCCAGTCAGCCTGTGGTGATCGACATCCAGTTCTACCGCATTGGCATCTCACGACAAATTTGGCACCACTCATCCAGGCGTAATACGACAACAAACCGAACAAACCCATGCTCAATCAAGCACTTTTCTCCCAATAAGTCAAATGAGACACCACAGAGCCCCATCCTTGTGACGCGGCGAAAAAAGACATCGACGATGCCGCCATGTGGATTTGCTGTCACCTAACAAAAAGCGGACACGGCCAAAACTGGACCGTTGCGCTGCTCATGCCTGCGCGGTGCCGTCACCAAGTCGCCCAGTCATTTCACTACTGGGTAGACGGACACGCAGCTCATCACTGCGGCGCCCGCTCAATCCACATGTGCGGTCTCGACGGAGAATGGCGTCCGAAGCCTCCCCTCCTGACCGAGCACGTTATCAGGGTATCAGACCGTCAATCAGCTCGTCAATCAGTCCGATTGCCCTTCAGGCCTCCACTACGGCCTGCAGCCTCACAACTCTGCAACCACACTGCAACGCTCGTTGCCCGTGAGCATCTCTTACCGCCTATGCCATGCAACCCTCCGCTCCTCCCTCACTCACACGCATCATCCCCCGGCCGACCTGATTGGCTTCTCGATTCGATCGCTTGCACCATCCATAACCTGCTTGCTACCTTGATGCTCGCCTGTCGCACGCTAGCAGGGGCAAATATTCCTGTTCCTCTCCACCATGGCGCATGGTGCTCGCAAACCTGGCATGTCTTTCTTGGCCAATTTGCAAGGGGAGGACAAGGACGCCGATCGCGAAAGCTCTTCATCTCCCTGCGGCGTTGCACATAAGGACAGTACGAATACCAGTAGCGTGCGCCAAGAGGCCCCGAGATATGCGGCAGCTCTTCCAGTTATTACAGGTACTGTGCAAACACCATCGCCATTGTGCAAGCGTTGCGCCAAGTCTCACCTTGTCTTGCTGTTCTCACCAGCAGGAACTCAGCCAGAAGCACACGGCCCAAGTTCGCCACGAGATAGATGCCTGCCTGTCAACCAAGTCCACACAGCCCCATCGTCTTTCTTTCAGAAATTGCGGACGCGCCGAGCCTTGCCTTGCCTTGTCCTCGAGTTATTCGGACTCTGCGCCACGGACTAGCTAACCGTCCTCTTTTATGACAAAGGCTGCCCGCATGCATTCTCGCTCAAGGTCCGTCCCAAATCATGGTTCCCGTACCCACCGGGCCACCGCACCGCGCCGCTGGCCCCACCTCACGATGCTGTTATTAGGCTATCTGCGACAAAAATATTTGAGGCTCAACTAACTCAACGGCCGTCTGTCTGTATGTGGGCGAATGCTTGCCGCAGGGGAAAGTGGCCTAGTAGCCGCAGCTGCGATGTGATGGCCACTTTCTGGAACTCTGAAAGTCCCAATATTGCGTAGATTTGACACGACTTGAAAAGTTCCACCACCGCATCAGTCGTGGTCCATAGCGATTGTCCGTAAGACCTCGCAACGAGCTAGCTTGTGGCTTTGACGGGCGGCACAGAACTTTTGGCCATGCCATTGTCGCGATGCATCAAAGACGCCAAATACCACGCAACAGAGGCAGCCTAGGCTTAGCCTGCTCCCTCCCAAGCGGCTGCATCCTTCTTCTTGGCGGGCCTCACGTTATCTGCCGTCCGTCTGACGCCTCCGAACTGCCCGGATATAGTCCACACCGACTGGCAGCCTGCGCGGCATGGCAGAAACGTCCGCCACGCCATGCCATGCAAATGCAGATGCACGCAGTACGAGGACCATGCACGCCTGCATTGGCGGCGCGCCGTCTCCACTCACCGTTTGCCTGGCGCCTCCATCCGTGGCGTTTCTTCATCCTTTGCTGCCGTGGAGTTGGTTGACGGGAGACGGGAGTGTGGTCGGCGACCGGATCGACTCGGTTACGGGGAACTATGATTTGAGTCTTCAGCCCCGGGCCGCCTTGCTGTCGCCGTGATGTGATCGATACCGGCCACAAGATCCCTCATATCCAGTAGAGCCACCTCGTACTCGGCTGTATTCTGTCCGAACTAAACAGTCTTGATAACAAGCTGTTGTGTAACCCGCTGGCCTATGCCGGGGCATGGAAGCCTCAAGCTTGGAACTGAACTGCAAGCCAATCAGTCCTATACTGCTAGCACTGAAGACGTGCGCCACGCTACACGATAGCAAGCCGCAAGTGTCACCGGCTATTATTCAGAGGACTCGTCATGTGCGCAATTTACGTCCATGGCCCTTCCATGTCTGAATGCCTGCATGCTTGGCTACGGGGCTCTCAATTGAATCAAGCCAGCCGTGCAGACGACGTGGCGCGTCTTAGCATTCCCCGCGTTTGACATGGCGCACGGAGGCTGGGGTAACAACGCGGTCTTCTGTCGTTGCGAGGCTGTTGAAGGTCGGGGTAGATGCCGACTTGCTTTTGCGACGCGAAGCGGTCAGGGTCGATTTCGGCCTCATTTTCCAGGTTAGCTGGCGAGCTGGCTATGCTAAACTAAGGCATACACCGGACTCTGCGATTTAGACCAAAGGGTATAGACTCGAAGCCGGCATCTGATCGACAAGTCTGGCGTACCGACTAGAGCGCAACAACTTTGACCCGCGCAGCTCGATATATGGGCGTCCGTATGCTAGTTGAGGGAGGAGGTAAGATGCTACGCAGCTGATCGGCGGGAGGGAGAGGCAAGGTAAGCCGTGGCTGGCCCTGAAGCTGTCGATGGCTCCGGGGGCAGAGAGATGTGCCACTCCATTGTACAGAAACGGTTGCGAATCGGCAAGCGAGCTACGTGGCCCTGCCGATAGTTAGGGGTTCCAAGGTCTTTTAGTGCAAAGGGATGCTTGAGTGGCAAGTTATGATGGGTGAATTGGTGTGGCGATGGGATATCAGGTTTTCGCATACACTGTCGGCCCGGGAGAGCGCGGCAGGCGAGCGAGATAAGGCATCCCAAGCAGGGACCAGCAAGGGCAGATAAGGGACAAATTGGAGCGTGCAGTGCAGGATGCAATCTGGGATGAGTGAGGATTCATTGGCAATATACTGGCATGCACTGGCAGGCCGCGTGCATGGTGATGCGGAGCCTTTTTTGACTGTGGTGATGTGGTGGCGCGTTTTTTGCAAAGCACCGTACGGTCGAAGATTTTTTTTTTCTTTTCTTGGACTCTTGCTTTACGAAGTGATTGACGAGGAAATTTGCCCGCGGCAACCCTTGAAATGAGATTAAAATGACAAGACTAGTTTATTGCACAGAGTCGTCTCCCGTGGTGCGTCACGTAGCCCACGATAAGGATAGCATCCGGTCGTGAACCGCGACAAGATGATGCGAAAGACGGGTTGTGAAAGTATTACAATGTCGATCTCTCTTATCGGATGCTCTCTATGTGTTGTAAAAGCAGGTATTCTGCAGAGCGGTTCGTGTCGGGTTGCCTCTTCCGTCGTGCTGCGCATGCTGTGCTACCCTGCTGTGCGTCCCCGGGTTACGAGAAAGATGCCGAGGAAGTCTTGGAAGAGCGGCTCAGGGATGATCGTGATTCAGGAGAAGGGACGTCTCTGTGTGACTTGGGCGTCGTTGACGATATTGCCGAGAGTGTTCTCGTGAGTGGTCATGGCGGACAGAGGAGGGCAGGCTAACTAGTTAGTCAGTGCCGTGGACGGCCTTTCCAAGTCGTGCTCAAAGACTGCTTCTTTTCCAAGTTCCTAGTGAGAGTCAAACTTGAATAGAGAGCATCGCAAGTTGACAACCTATACGAGGTCACCGCATGTCACAACGAGTACAGGGCAGCCCAGCAATTGGTTCAGCCACGATACACCTAAAACGTGACGAGGATCGCATGTTATTATCGACAGTATATATTGACGCACGTCTAAACTACAGAATTTGTTCAGATGTCGCTCTGTAGGGGCGGCTGCCCGCAGACAGGCACTCGGTGTGTATACCAAGACAAGTTACTCACAGCCCGCGCATCTCCTAACTTGACAAGTATGATTTACTCTTGGTTCTTCTTCAATCCGTCACCACAGACGCTTGTTTCAACTGTTTTAATAACCACGGCCATTTCCAAGCCTTGCGTACCGGAGTCGGTAAGTAATATTGGTACTGGATATACCCGTGAGGCGCCGCCATCGGGTGAAGCCGTTGCCAGAGTTCATTCGCGGTCATGCTGCTGCTCAGGACCAGCGTCTTGCTCTCGCTCTCGGACGGGAAATCAAACAAGATGGCCTCTCTACGAAAACCTCGCCGCAGTCCTTCTCGCTGGAGAAAGTCGAGGAACCCAGCGGCCACCGCGCCTCGCGGGGACGAACGCGCCCTCGCATTTTCCACACGCACGACGAAGCCGCCGTTTCTCGTTGTCGCCGTTTCCCGTGGCGTGAGGACGCGGGCCTGGCCCAACTCGAGGCAATTAACTCCCGTAGCAGACGTCGGCGCAGGTCCTCGTCCGCGTCTCTGAAGTCCAGCTCCAGCTCCAGCGGCGCTGAAGACGGGGCGCGCAAGGCTGCAAGTGCGTGCGGTGGAACCTGGCGTGGCGAAGCCATAGATCCTGGCCAGCAGGCGCATCGTCAACCGCGGCTGCGGCCTCGGGGGTTCTCTTCTGCTCGGTCCGTCCGGCTGGTGAGCCGCCGCAGCAACCTGGACACGCCCTTTACCTTTGATGTGCACCGGCGCACTCTGTGCTTGCTGGTCTTGCTGTTCGACATGTGTCTGTGCAGACTGTGCCTTTTGTAGTTGCTGTCCTTTGATGTCTTGTTTTTCGATGTGCTGTCTTTTGGCGCTCTACTCCCCGATGCCTGAATTCTTGATGTCTTGTTCCTGGTCGTCTTGTTTCTTGATTTCATGTGTCTTGGTGTCTTCATTCTTGCTATCGTGTTTCTTGGTATCATGTGTCTTGATGTCTTGATTCTTGATATCGTGTTTCTTGATATCATGTGTCTTGATGTCTTCATTCTTGATATCGTGTTTCTTGATATCATGTGTCTTGATGTCTTGATTCTTGATATCGTGTTTCTTGATGTCTTGGTTCTGGTTGGCTTGATTCTGGTTGCTTTGTTTCTTAGTGTGCTGTTCTCCCTGGTCTTTCTGCCCGATGCCCTTGTTATCAAGCTGCCGCTTCTCGATGCGCAGTTTTCCATTGCCTTGCTGCTCAGCATGTGCTTGGTAGAGGGAATGTTGGGTGTCTTGTGCACTATTCAGTCCTCCATGGATATCTCTTCTCGGGCTCGGCGCCTTCTCCGTGGCCGCTGTCTCCTTGGACCTTCCGTCACTCAGGTCCTGCATGCCTCGCCTTTCCTCGCCGTCCGTACCCTTGTTCGGTGATAACTCGGGGGCTATTCTTTCGACTTGTTGTGCGTTTTGTCCTGCCGATCGGGCCATACCTGGAGCTTCTCGCAAGGTAGAGGCTGTGATGCCATTATGCGCGGTATCAGTCATTAAGGAAACAATTCCAAGTAAGTTGCAGGACATCTACCAGGTCAAGAAAGGTATTCTGGCGTAGCATTGACTGCCAGCTATGCCACCATGCTGGGCATCATCCTCACGGGCTCTGCGACCATCCGACAACTCATGCAAACGCCGCCACCGGCAGCTACCGCATAGTTCAATCGCAACTTGAGCAGGGCAAGGAGAGCTTGTCCAGATGGTGTCGCTTTGCTGCAGGATACAAAGATGCTCAATGTATTTAAAATCTCGATGAATCACCCTGAATTTTAAAAGTTCAATGTTGTTTCTTTTTTTTTTGCTTATTCCTGTGACTGTCTTTGGGCACACGACCCAAGCAGGAAAGTAATTCTCGACGTGGGCCTCCGATCGCGCCTCCACAGCGCGTAAAGTCGCGATCGGCGGGGGGGGGGACCTATGAGAGAGGCAGAATTAATAACACGACCTGATTCCAGACTTAGCATCACGACTATTCAACCTTTACAAGTCACTCACTAAAATCCCCCCCCGTTTCCCACTCCCCATGCGCGGCCAAACGAGGACGGCCACGCGTCGGCGGTCATCGCGCGTCCGCCCGACACCTCCCTCGCCGTCTCCGTCTCCGTCTCCGTCTCCCTCGCCTTCGCCCTCACTCTCCGGCGGCAGCGACTCCGAGCCTCGGCCCGCCAAGCGCCGCAAGACCACCACCACAACCTCATCCTCCGCCGCCTACCGCGCCATCCTGCACTCCTCCTCCTCCTCCTCCTCCTCCTCTTCCCTCCCGCCCAGTCTCCCCCCTCTCCGCCGACACACGCTCTCCTACCACTCCCCTCTCCTCCTCTCCTCCGCCCCTTCCCGCGCTTCCCTCCTCTCCTGGTTCGACTCCGTCAGCCACGCCCGCTCCATGCCCTGGCGCAAGCCCTTCCTCGACCCCTCCGCCTCCGCCTCTCCCACCGCCCTCCGCGATGCGCTCGCCCGCCGCGCCTACGAGGTCTGGATCTCCGAGGTCATGCTGCAGCAGACGCGCGTCGCCGTCGTCGTCGACTACTTCACGCGCTGGACCGCCCGCTGGCCCACCGTCCACGCCCTCGCCGCCGCCTCCCCCGACGACGTCCTCGCCGCCTGGCGCGGCCTGGGCTACTACTCGCGCGCCACGCGCCTGCACGCCGCCGCCAGGCTCGTCGTCGCGGACATGGACGGCCTGCTGCCCTCGGACCCGGCGGAGCTGGCGGCCAAGATCCCCGGCGTGGGACGGTACACGGCGGGCGCCGTGGCGAGCATCGCGTTTGGGAGACCGGCGGCCATGGTCGACGGGAACGTGCTGCGCGTGCTGAGCAGGCAGCTGGGGCTGCGCGGGGATGTCAAGAAGGATAGGGTGGTGGTGGACATGATCTGGGACGCGGCGGAGGCGCTGGTCAATGCCGTGGCGCTGGACGGGGAGGAGGAGGAGGCCGAGGTGACGGCGGAGGAGACGAGGAGCGATAGACCAGGACGATGGGGGCAGGCGCTGATGGAGCTGGGGAGCACCGTGTGCGCGCCGAGGCCGCGCTGCGGCGAGTGTCCTGTCACGGAGACCTGTCGCGCCTACGCCGAGGGTCGGGCGCTGGGCACCAGCAAGCCGGGAAGGCAGGCCGGGGACGTCGTCGCCGACATGGAGGACCTGTGCACCGTGTGCGAGCCGCTCGACGACATCCAAGACCAGCAGCAGCAGCAGCAGCAGCAGCAGCCTCCCGCCACCACTATCAAAGGCGGCAAGCAAGCGACGCTCTCGCCCTTCTTCGGCAAGCCAGCGCCCGCCAAGCTCGACATCGAGGCCATCGTCCAACACGCGCAGCGCTTCCCCGTCAAGTCCATCAGGAAGGCCGTGCGCGAGGAGTCGACGCTCGTGTGCGCCGTCGTCCGCGACGACGGACGCTTCCTGGTGCGTAAACGCCCGGCCAAGGGCCTTCTGGCCGGTCTGTGGGAGCTTCCGAGCGCCGCGCTTGACCATGGCCCGAGGAGGACGACCGACGCGAGTCGGCGAAGCCAGCTAGCCAGGGATTTTGTCGCTGAGATGCTGCAAGGCGAAGAGGTCGAGCACGTTGGCGAGCTCGGGAGCGTGCCGTGGCTATTCTCGCACATCAAGCTGACGATGCATGTGCACCTGTTCAGGATGGAGGGGACCGGGGATGTCGGCGTCGGAGGACCAGGCAAGGGCCGGTGGTCGGATGATGTGGACGGCGAGTCCATGGGCACGGGTATGCGCAAGTGTTGGGACTTGGTCAAGGTGGCTGTATAGCGGTGGAACTTGAACCTGTATAACATTGTGTAACAAGCTTTGTAAAAGATGGGCGGAATTGACATGGCCATGTCAACCCCTGTAGTTGTGTATCAAGTACATATACGATAAGGGGGAATTACTGGTCGCTACATGCGTTGTTGAAATAAATCAATTCAAGGGTATAATATATATCGGTCACGCATCATTATGCAAACACAGCGGTGGACCGGGGTAATAAGTAATCCAAAAAGACATGCACATCATCTCATCCATCACGTCAGGCTTATTGCATGTGCTCGTGCTCTTGCACGGGAGGACCGGCATAGTTACGGTGACCCCAGACCACGTACCACAGAGCAGAAATGGTCATGGCGGCGGCAAAGACGACCGAGGCAAAGTTGACATTGGCGACGTTGGTGACGGGATAGTTGGTGGGCATGCAGAAGAGGGGGAGGGCCAGAAGAGACCAGGCTGCAGCTGTTAGCTTGGTTATGCATCAACTGGCACGGAAATACATACCGACGGCGATGGTGTTGGCAACGTAGCCAAACTTGCCGAGACGGAACGCCGCGTCGGCCACCTTGCGGCGACGCGTGAGCATGTTGATGGCAATGGGGGTGGCGTAGGCGGCAGTCAGGCAAATGACACCGACACCCGAGAAGGCGTTGAAGGCAACGGCGGAACCAAAGTTGATGAGGCCGAGCACAACCTGGACAACCATGCTGAGCATCATGGCGTTCAGGGGCACGTCGAGCTTGTGGTTGACCTGGACCCACCACTTGGAACCGGGGATGGCACCGTCGCGAGCAAACGCCCAGACGCATCGGGAGGCGGCCGTGGTGCAGCCGATACCACAGATCAAGGCGAGGACCATGAGAGGAATCAGGAGACCGATGGCGCCACCGGGGGAGCCGACGGCCGCCTTGATGATGTACGGAACGGGCTGGCCGGAGGCGATGATGGCGGCGATTTCCTGGGCGGGCATGACGAACATGAGAGGGATGAGGAAGAGAAGGCCAGCAAAGGTGTTGATGAAGATGGTGGCGACCATGGCCTTGGGGACCTGGGTAGCGGGTTCCTGGACCTCTTCGCACATGCTATACACTGTTAGACAATGGGGCGCAAGATGACCGTCAAGAGGCCAATGGGGTACAAGATGACCATGGACTAATGGGGTGCAAGATGACAATCAATAGACCAATGGAAGACGTACGAGATAATCATGCCGGTAGATGAAGTGGCGTAGCCGGCGTGCAAGAGACCGACCATGAAGGACCAGCCCTTGGGCCAGCCTGACGACGTCTCAAAGTGACCAAAGACGTAGGCGGCAGAGTTTCGGCCGCTCTTGGCCATGACAAGGACGGTAATGGTAATGGCGATGACACCGGCAAATGTCCAAAAGATGGCGGCCGTCTGTGGCGCATGTTAGCGTGAATCAGGGGCACGGAGCACGGAGGCCGGAGCCGGGTGCCGGGTTCGGTGATAACTCGGTGTGGGGACGGCAGACGGCGGGCATGCAAACTTACGTCGATCCAGGGCAGCCACCTGTTTCCGAGGGAGGAGACGAGGTTGCAGAGGATGGTAATGGCGAGGAAGATGAGAAACTGCTGCCAGCTGGTACCCTCAATCATGGGGATGGGATTGCCTTCGGCGTCGAGACCCTTGTCGAAGACGTTGATGCAGCCAATGAAGAAGAGTGCGGTACCGAAGTTGACGGCGAGGGTGATGGTGATGTTTCCGACGACGTAGAGCCAGCCGCAGACCCAACTGGCAATGCGACGCCAATTGGCCGGGGCAAGCATGAAGGCTTGATAGTAGACACCTGGACGAGTTAGCAAGGGCGATTGGGAGAGGGCCGACAGCTCTGGCTCACCTCCAGCAGTGGGATAGACGCTAGTAATCTCGCCAAGAGAGGCAGCGACGCAGACGATGATGAGGGAGACGAGAACCCAGCCCCAGATGACGACGACGGAGCCGCCGCCAATCATGGGGTAGATGAGGGTGGTCGCGAGACCGTACGGGATGGAGGCGAGGACGAAGGACATGAATGCGACCTGAGCCGTGGAGCGGTTGCGCTGCAGCTCGGGCTTGTAGCCCAAGGACTCGAGGAAGTGGTCGGCATTGTCCTCGACGGACATGCGCGGCGCTGCGTCGTGGGCCTTGAGGTCCATCTTACCGGAGCCGTTCGAGTAGTCGTGGGTAGTCGACATGATGGCGGACGGCGGGGAGGGAGGTGTTTGGGAGGCGGAAGTGGTGATGGGAGAGGAAGAGCAGACGAGGCTCTGGGCGTTTGTAGCGAAGAAAGACGACGAGGGTGCGCACGTGAGGCCATGCCCAGAGCAGGCAGGCGACCGAAGGCGGGTGCCACAGGAAGTGACAGGATAAAAAACGGGGCGCTTTGTCGGTTGGGGGCAGTTCGAGAAGAAGAAGAATGAGGTGAGACAGAAGGGTTTATTTATAACAATAAGCCTGTGGTTGGTTTGTGGCCGGGCTTGTCTTGGATTTTGTCGATGGCTGATACCAGCGCGACGGGGACGGGGGTGGCAGGATAAGGGTGGCGGGTGGGATAAGAGGGTGTAACGTGGTTGGACGCGGGGGAGGAACCAGATATAAGATGAAGAGGCACGGAAAAAAAGAGGATCAAACAAACAAATGGATTGATACGGAGACAGAGTATCAGCACAAAGGAGGCGAGGAAGTAAAGCCCAGAATGGGCCAACGACGATGGGAGGAGGAGGAGGAGCGAGGCTGAAGGAAGATTTAGTTAGGTAAGCTGGCAGTGAATGGCAGCGGGCGTCAGTGGCCACACCAACTGGAAAGATGGACTAGCGACGGTGGGGTGTACAGGGCTTGGTGCGCTAAAAGACGGGCGCATTAAGGTACTGACCGAGGATAACTATGTAGCACTAAACTTTTGGACGCGAGTTGAGACGGTTTCGGGAGCGAAAAGAGGGACAAGAAAAAAATTCTGCATGTCTTCTGGAAGCCACATGTTTTGATTGCAGCCAGTTTCATTTCACAAAAACCCCATGCAGCGGCGCTGCAAAAATCCTACCTCGTTCCCTGTCGCAGCTGCCGATCCTACAGGCGTCGCGACCACAGGGGAGCCACGCTGCAGTGCGAGGGCTTGGTGGCTTGCAGGGGCTTGTTAGCGGATGGGGTCCCCCTCCATGGGGAGGCCGAGGGCAGCACCGCGTGGTTGACCGGTGTGGGTGTTCACTACGTCACTCTGGGGCGGGCATGCTGCAGGAAGTGCACTGGAGGCCAGGAGTATATGGGATACAAAGAACACGCATCTTACATTCGGAGGGGCTGCGGAGAGTCTTGGCTGGGCTGCTGGGTCGCTGGGCGCGATGGACTGGATACGGACAGGTACGGAGTGCCCAGTACGGTCTGGTGATGGGGCGCGTCCCGCTGGCAGACGTCACAGCGGTGGATGGAACGTGAAGGCGGGCGAGCGACTCTTGAGTTCTGTATTGAAAAAAAAACAAAAGCCAGCTTCGGCCCTTTTAGACGCTTCCTTTCCGCGCATGCATGCATGCGTGCATGGTGGGCGGCACGCGACAACACCACCCACCATGCAAGCCGTCACCAGCAATACAAGCAAGCGCTGGCAGTACATAGATTTCACTAGCGGGCAAGCCACCAGAGGCGCCGTCGCTCGCTGATATGAGTTGCGTCGCAGTGGCAGCAGTGGTGGCAAACAAAGCGTAGAATTAAGAAGAACGGAAACACGGGGTTTACTGCCGTGATGAAGAAAAAAAATAAAAATTAGAATTTAAAATAAGCTGGCTGCGCGTGGCATGATTCGACATGTCGTGGCTTGGAGCTGTCGCTGCGGCTCAGCCAACCAGAGGCGGCGGCCGTCTCGGACGGTGCCCCAAAGCGGCCAAGGCTGCGGCGACTGACTAGCCACAATTTTGAATTGTGCCAAACAGACCCCTGCTAGCAGTGGTGACCCTGCTAACCTCTGGGTGTCTTTTGTTTTTCCAAGTACCTTCCAGTGCGTGCTACTAATAGTTTCCAGTACAGAAAGGAGGGCGCCACCGTTTTTAAAGCTGACAGCCCGCCATTTCCGGCTCCGGCCAGCCCGCACCCTTTGTCCACTAAAATCATTCGTAGTCGCTAAAAGTCCACTGTGGACAAACCTGTCTCATCCATTGACCGAAACCAAGCAACTGAAGAAAAGGGAGCGCTTTTGATTTGCTGGATTCATTGTCGGAGGAACACACCTGGAAACACGACAAGAACGCACGCATTCAACTGAATCAAAACCACCATCCCCGCTGTGGGCTGCCCTCCCCAGTGGACCGTTTCTGCAGCGTAATTTAACGGACTCGTTCCCAAACACCGCCGAGAAAATAATTGCCGCAAAGAGGGACTGAGGAAAAAAAAAACGAGGGAAAAAAGGAAACGAGCTGTGGAGTGGGATATGCAACGTCTGCAACGGAATAGGCCCGGTTTGTCACGGCAGAGTGGACAAAAACTCCAACACAGATGAAAGAAAGGAACTGTCCAGCTGAGGCTAGATGAATCCAAATCTACCAGTCTAACTAATTTATACTCCCCTGCTCATCTTAAAAAAAAGCCAAGTCGTTCCTCAGCTCCAATAGGGCTGCCTGGACACCTCCCAATCCCTGCAAACCCTTCGTATGGACGACGCCGTCCTACGCTACGAGGCAATAGCCACGCTGCAATGACAAGCCGTGGCTTGTCCGCAATCTGAACCCACGATTGAGGGCCAGCCTGGGCAACATTCATGTACATCAGTGCAGCGCAGAAGATGCAACCGGTTGTCAGATAGCTTGGCGACAGCCGGTCCTCGGGTGTCTCGCCGCCGCGCCGGAATGAACGTCCGCCTCGTCACATGCATGCGCCTGCAGGAATATGCAATCTGGGTAAGCAACTGTCATTCATCGATCGTGTTACTCTGGAATATAGAATGCGGGCCCGGGCAACATCTGTCCTCCATCGATCGTGTTACTCTAGAATATAGAATGCGAGCCCGGGCAACACCTGTCCTCCATCGATCGTGTTACTCTAGAATATAAGAATGCGAGCCCGGGCATCACCTGTCCTCTATCGATCATGTTACTCTAGAATGCAAGCTCCTCGCGTGCTACATCATCATCATCAGTCGTGCGACTCCAAACATCCAACCTGCTCCCGTCCGTAGGTGTGCCTCCAACGCCATGCATGACATCACCGCCTCCCATGCAACCCGTAAATCCGTGTCTTTACTTCCACCGTAATCCCATCTCCTCCACTGACAGACTTGGGTCTTGAACCCGCCTCTTCTCCTCCGGCCTACCCCCTCCCTCCGTTGTAGTCCGCGCCGCCCGCCCTGCGCAGCCTCGCCACCATCTCCCCCTCCCCCAGCTCGCCCACGTCGCTCGCCGTGACCGCCACGCTGTGGTGCGCCAGCACGCGCTTGACGTCGCCGCTCTCGACGCTCACACGCGCGCGCCGCATCACGCGCGCGCCCTCGCCGATCCACACCACCAGCACGAACTTGACCCGCGTGCTCTCCGCGTCGTTGGCGTACTCGACGCGCACGTACCCGTACTGCACCTCGGCGGCGTCGAGGGACTGGGCAAGCTCGGCCAGGCCGCCGGTGCCGGTGGCGGTGAGGGTGAGCTGGTTGCCGACGGCGGAGGGGTAGGAGATGAGCAGCCAGTTGGTGGCGTCCTTGTCGCTGCGCACGGCGGCGTAGGCGGCGGCGATGTCGGGCGCGTCCAGGCCGGACATGATGGATGTGTGGTCGGAGGTTGAGGTCCCGAGACCAGGAGGATGTGTGCTTGTGGGAGTCGAGCGGGTAAACGTCCCGGACCGGGCTCGACGTTCACGGCTGTCGAATGCTTCTGGTGGATGCTGCTCTCGTAGAGTCAATTGCAAGTATGAAGAAAACCCCAAACAGGCAGGGATGTGCTGGGAATCAAGTCGCTCGCGTTCGTTGGTCGTGTGTCGTCGTCGAGAGGCGGTAAGCTGTCCTCGTCAGCTCCAGCCCACCACCCGCCGAGCCGACGCCAGAGAGGGGCGCGCTCGGGCGACCTCACGCATCATGCGCATTGTCAGATGCTAATGCCTGACACGTTGCCATCGCCCGGGCAAAAAGCACACAAACAATGACTGTTGAAGTCCATTTCTGGTGGTGGTGATGATGATGATGATGATGATTCCTCGTTGCTTGTTTGCAAGGGCTGCACCTGCACACCAATCAACTCTCCCGCCATGTGATGTGCGCGACACCGGGTGAGGGGCAGCTCGGAGCCCGCCGCACCCTCCAAAACCTGTCACCCAGCTTCGGTTTGCATTAACCTGATGCCATCATCTACAGCCCTGCATTTTTAGAGCTGTATTCCCCAACCATGCAGTACCGGACCATCCAGCCCATCCTGTCCGCCCTCTATATGGCCGCCCCCTCCGTCGCCAGCTACGCCTTCTACGTCGGCAAGCAGCTCACCGCCGACGGCGCCGTGCTCGTCGGCGGCACCGGCGAGGAAGTCTCCTCGCACTGGCTACAACTGTTCCCGGCCCTCGCGCACCTGCCCAACGCCACCGTCACCGTCGGCGCCACCCCCGCCGCCGCCATCCCCGGCCAGCGCCTCGCCATCCCCCAGGTCGCCCGCACCCACCGCTACCTCAGCATGGAGTACTCCGACTTCGAGGGCTTCCCCGCGCCGCTGACCAACGGCGGCCTCAACGAGCGCGGCGTCGCCGTCCGCGACGTCTGGGCCCCGAACCGCGAGGAGCTCCTCGCCATGACGCCCGTCCCGCAGCGCGGCCTGCACTACGCGGACCTCGCCCGGCTGGTCCTGGAGCGCGCGGACTCGGCACGCCACGGCGTGGAGATTGTCGGTCATCTTATACGCAAGTACGGCTACGCGACGTATGACGCGGGTAACACGCACCTGATCGCGGACAGCGACGAGGGCTGGGTTGTGTGGGAGTTTGCCGGCGGCCGCGGGCTCTGCGCGGCCGAGCGTCTGAAGGAGGACGAGGTGCGCGTGCTGTACCCTGGGTATATCGAGGACTTCCCCGTCGACTTCGCCTCCAGCGCGGACCACATGGGCTCGGAGAACCTGGTCTCCTTCGCGGTCGAGCAGGGCTGGTGGGAGCCCTCCTCGGGCGCGCCGTTCAACCTCTTCCAGGTCTACGGCGACGCGCAGGACGGCAACAAGACAGCGCGCGACGGCGGCTTCAAGTACATGACACCGGCGGACCTCGAAGCCGCGACGGTTGCGATGGCGCCCCTGACGGAGACGAAGCTGATGGAGCGCGTGCGCGACCCGCGCATCGCCGACGACGAGGCCGGGTATGGCCAGGTGGTGCGGCTGCACGCCGACGCCGCCGGCGCGGCGCCGGCCCTGCTGCGCATGTGGAACGCGCCGACCGGCTCGCTCGCCGCGCCGTTCCTGCCCTGGTGGCTCGGCGTCGAGTCCGTCCCGCCGGAGCTCGCCGCCCACCGGTACCTGACCGCCGGCGCGTCCGCGAGCTTCCTGAACCCGGACTTTCAGCTGCAGGAGGCGTCGGCGTTTGCGGGCCGGCTGTTCAAGCGCGTGCTGTACTACATGTGCTCCGCGCCGGCGAGGTTTTTGCCGCTGGTGACGGAGATGCTGACGGCGTTTGAGGAGCGGTCGGTGCGAGACGTGGAGTGGGTGGAAAAAGCCGCTCGGGCGTTGATTGCTGGTGGTGATGAGGATGCCGCGGGGAGTTTGCTGACGTATTATGCGCATGAGCGCGCGGACAAGGCGATGCATTTGGGGCGCACAATGGTGGACGCGCTGGACGCGTACGTCAAGCTGTCAGGCGGGTGGAGGAGCCCGAAGGGCAGCGAGATTAATGACCCCGGGGAGGGTGCAGAAACGGTGAACTGCTTGGTCGGCGCGGATCCGGATCAGCCGCGGCCGCCGAGACGCCGACTGCAAAAGCAGACTCTCTGAGCAAGCTTGCATTACAACTCTCAGAGGGGGCAGTGGTAAGTCCAAGTTGAAAATTGAAATATCGTAGGTGTGAATTGAGAGTGTATTTGTTTCGCTTTATCATATCCCTGACGTTGATGATAGACGCCATGCATTGCTTTGGTTCAAGTTTTACCCCAATCAAGCTACGACGAGTGATGACAAGGACGTCCACCGCAGTTCCCTCTCTTTAAAAACAGACAATATTATTATTAATTACAACATAAAAAAAATCACAAGCTAAAATGTTCAAGCTCTATTTACTGCTCTGCGGCAATATCTGATGCACCACCGACCACACGACCTGCGAGATGGTGGCGCCGCCAATCAGCTTCATCACCGGCATGCTCACCTGCAGCTCCTTGAGGAACCACTGGCGCATCTTGACCGCCACCAGCGAGTCGACGCCGAGGTCCAGCACCGGCACCTCCGGCGGCACCGGCTGGCCCGCCGGCAGCCGCAGCAGCCTGTGCACCACGCCCTGGAACCCGCGCAGCACCGCCTCGTACGCCTCCTCCGGCGTCATCCCCCGCAGCGCCGCCACGTCCAGCCTGCCGGTGCTCTCCGCATCCCCCGCGGCGGACTCGGCCGCGGGGGCCTGCCGGTCGAGCAGGTAGTGGCCGAACTTGGCGTCGCGCGCCCACGGGGGGACGACCTCGTCGCGGGCGACGTCGACGTAGCGCAGGCTGGAGGAGACTTCCGGGCCGTGCGGCGCGGTGGCGGGGCTGGCGAGGACGGCCTCGGCGAAGAGGTAGCGGTAGTCGGCCTCGGAGACGATCTCGTAGCCGAGGGCCTTGCTGCGGGCAAGGATGTTGTGGCCGGTGCGGGTGATGAAGCCGACGCCGCTGACGCCGGTCAGGTTGATGACGGAGGCGGCGAGGGCGCGCTGGCGCCTCTGGTGGGCGAGGGAGACCATGAAGCTGTTGGCGACGGCGTAGGCGAGCTGGCCCGTGTTGCCGGCGACGCTGACGAGGGAGGAGTAGAGGATGAAGAAGTCGAGGGTGTCCTGGCTGAAGGCCTCGTCGAGGTAAATGCTGCCGTCGACCTTGGGGCCGAGGACGCGGGTCATCTGATTGAAGGTGAGGTCGGTGAAGAGGCTGTCCTCGATGACCAGCGCGCCGTTGGCCACGCCGCCGATGGGGGGCATGGTTTCCTTGATGATGGCGATGGTCTTGGCCAGGGCGGCCTTGTCCGTGATGTCGCTGCTTACGGTTAGCTTTCCATGTGTATTGCCTCGGTTGATAATGAAGAAACTCACAGCGCAAATGTGTTGACGGTGGCGCCGTGCTTGGCCTTTTGCGTGGCGATCCAGGAGCCGTCCACCTTCGGGTTGCGGCTGGACAGCGCAAAGTATCGCGCGCCGCGGGATATCATATAAGACACGGTAGAGAGGCCGAGACTACCGGCCATGCCCACGAGAAAGTACGTCTTGTCGGGGCTGAAGCGGCATTCCTCCAGCGCGGGCAGGACGGTGGCGCGGACAGGATGCTTGTCGACCCAGGAGACGGTCTTGGAAGGGACGCCAAAGGCAAAGGCCCGGGGGAGCTGCTGAATAGAAATGACCTTCTCTGACGAGGCGGCCTTGCTCACTGTCGGTAAGGAGGTAATCTTGGACACGGCCGTCTTCAGAACTCGGTGGATAGAGTCAGCGTTCACGTTGCGATACTTGTAGCTTTGAGTGCGGACAAGATCAGCAGAGGCCAGCATTGCAATACCAGATGGAACTGCAAGTCCCAGGTCAGCCAGGCTGTCTCCGTCTCCAGCCTTGGTGCAGTCCACGCACAAGAACGTGTCTGGCCGCACCAGTTCGCTGAGCTGGCGAGCTGAGCCGTGGCGGGCAATCAAGTTCCATCCTTGCTTCTTGCTGCGCGAGGCGTCCATGGTTGTGAAGATGAAGTCAACTCCAGTCTCCTTGCCTGCGTCGAGCAGCAGCTGCGACAACGCCTCGGATGCTTCATGGACGACCACGCTAGTCTGCGGGGGAGACCGCTGCATGATGGATGAGGCCTGGAAGAAGGCCTCAAGGGCTTGCGGAAGCGACATCTCTTCATCTTCGGACATGCTGGCGAGCGGCACCAGCGACGTCTTGGGAACGGAGACCCGGGACCTGTTCTCCGTGGCCAACGCAGCGACAGCCTGGCCAGTCTGGACGTCTCTGCCCGTCACTGGATACAAGTATCCCAGCGAAGGAATGTTGACGCAAACCGAGAGAGAATAGTGAACATCGATCTCGGTCACGACATCACCTTTGGGGAGTTGTGATGAAGGTGAGGCTGTGACGCGCAGCCTCTCGAGAGAAAGCGACGACTCGGCGGCCGATAGCTGCAAGACCCCGGCCGTCGGAAGGATGTCGGCCTGCACATGGCGCTGGAGCGAGTTGTACCCCAAGTCCAGCTCCTTGTTGGGCATGTAGCGCGACACGAACGGCTGCCCGCCGCGCAGCAGAAGCTCCGGCTCGTGCGACCACAGGATCTGACCCGGGTTCTTCACCGAGTGATGCCGGTGCAGCCTCAGCACGGCTTCGGATATAAACTGCACCGCGCCCGAGACCTCGTCCTCGACGTCCAGGATCTGGCTGACGAGATGGGAGCACTCCTCGATCAGGCACCGCAGGGTCCCCTTGATCATGTTCGCGTAGGGGTTGCGTCCCTGGGTGCCGGAGACGACCCAAACGAGCCGCTCCGAGCGCGTGGTCAGCTCCTGCAGCTTGGTGAAGGAGGCCTCGGTCAGATGCGCCCAGAAGTCACGGTCGAGCTCCGTCAGGCTCAGCACGAAGGGCTTCTCTGCGAGGGTGGTCTCGGTCAGGTGGACGAGGCTCTGCACGGTCGAGATGGCGTCGCAGAAGGGTGACAGCAGAGCCCGGATGTTGTCGATGCGCTCCGTCGTGGCGGTCGTCTCGCCGCCGATGATGAGGAGATGGGGAATCTTGACGCCCACGGACGATAGGGGCTGGCGGAGGGCATCGACAATCTCATCGGTCGCCATGGTCGCCATGATGGAGAACAGGCCAGTCTTGGAGGAGCTCTGCGTCTCGATGCCTGCGAAGCCAGTGTCCAGGAACTTGTCATTCCACGGCCGCAGCTCCCCGCCGTCCGAAGCATTGACTTGGTGAGTCAGGAGTAGGTAACCACCGGGTCGAACGAGGTGCCGGATCCGCCGCAGGCTCTCCGTGTCTGCTGAGTTGCCGTAGCGCAGAATCACCACGTCATATTCGCCGCCCGCGTGGCTTTCTAGGAACGAAGGGCTGTCAAGCGGCAACGAGACTCTCTTGAGGCTGGAGCCGTCATCGCGCGAGTCGGCCATGGACGCAAAGGCCTCCTCGGTCACACCGTCCAGCGCGTATGACGAAAGCTTGCCGCCGAGCGCTGTGTAAGCGTCGATGATCTCGGTCGCGTGGCCATCGGTTCTTTCCAGCACCCGGGCCTTGGGATAGCGATCGGTGATTTGCTTGAGCAACCCGGCTAGGAGTTGATGGCTGCACGCTTCTTCAGCTGCGAAGCTGCTGGCTGCGACATGTCCGTTGGTCAAGACGGTGCCATTCGTCAACGGCTGTTCCTTTACGACATCGCCGTTAAGCAGGGAATGCCCATTGGCAAGAGCATGGCTGCTGGTCAAAGTATGACCGTTGGGCAGGGGATCGCCGTTGGTGGACAGATGACCATTGGTCAATTTGTCTCCATCGGTAAGGGCATGGCCGTTGGTTAATTTGTCACCATTAGGAAGGGCATGGCCGTTGGTTAATTTGTCGCCATTAGGAATGGCATGACCATTAGTCAACGTGTTTCCATTGACAAGGCCATTGGTAAGGCCACGACCATTTGTCAATGAGTCTTCCTTGGTCAGATTGTCTCCATTAGTAGAGGCATATCCATTAGTCACGACATCTCCATTGGTAGAGGCATGGCCGTTGGTAGAGGCATGGCCGTTGGTAGAGGCATGGCCATTGATCGATCCATGACCATTGGTCACCACATCTCCATTGACCGGTCCATGACCATTCATCAAAGAGACCTTTGCGACATGATCCACCAAATGACCGTTTGGCAAACCATTGCCGTTGGTCGCGCCATTAACCGAAAACAAGTCTCCCGAGCCCTCCGGAAGCACTTCCTCCGCTTTCAGCAGCGCCGAGTTCGGGCCCGCCACGCAGAGCACCATGTCGGCAAACATCTGCTTGTCGTCCTCCTTGCTCACCGGGCTCACGGGCGCCACCGTCATGCCCTCCACGCGGAACACCGTCTCCCCGGTGCCCGCCGTGCCGACCTCGATGTCGCCGCAGATCGTCCTCCTGTCGATCACGTACGACACCGCGCTGAACGCGAACCCGCCCGCCGGCGTGGGATGTCTCGCCAGCGCCGCGGGGCTTATCGCCAGACGCTTGATGGTGGTCGGCACGTGCAGCGTCTGCAGACGGCCGTCGCCGGGGTAGCTGAGGGCGGCGAAGACGGCCTGGAAGGAGACGTCGAGCACGGCGGGGTGCAGCGGCACGCGGCTGGGGGAGGTGGTCGGGTCGATGCCGGTGGGCGCGGAGATGACGCCGGTGGCGTGGTCGGTGGTGCGCGCGAGGGAGGCGATGCCGCGGAAGGCGGAGGTGTAGCCGTACCCGATGGAGCGCAGGTTGTCGTAGAAGCTGTCGACGTCGATGTCGTCCAGCTGGCCGGAGCCGTGGGGCGTAGAGGGGAGGTTGTGAGGTGCCCGGCCGCCGAGGACGAGCTTGACCGTGCCGCTGGCGATGCTGGTCATGCGACTTGTCGAGGTGGCCGTGGCGGCGTCGCAGTGGTAGCGCGCGGAGAGGATGGATCCCTCGTTGGGTGAGGATACGACCTTCACCTCGGAGAGGTAGAAGAGCGTCTCCGTGGATCTCTCGTCGTCCAGGGCCAGCGCCCTGTGGATGGCCGAGTCGAACAGCTCGACGAGGCGCACCTCGAGGCCCAGCGACCCGGCAGCGATGGTGGCCGCCTCGGCCGCCATTATCATGAACATGGCCGCGGGGACCAGCGTCTGGCCCTGGATCTGGTGTCCCGAGAGCCAGGGGAGCTCCTCGGTGGACAGGAAGTTCTTCCAGCGGTACTCGTTCTCGCCGGACGTGTTGGTGCGGACGCCGAGGAGCGGGTGTGGAGGCGCTTCCCTGAAGCGATGGGCGCGGGACTCGCGCGATTCAAACTCGTACGAGTGGTCGTGGTCCCAGGGGTATGAAGGGAGGTTTCGGAGAGGGATCATATTTTCTTGGGAGAACTGGGCGGCGTATGCGTCCAGCTTCAGCCCGGACTGCGCGGAGACGGACCACAGCCAGCCGAGGAACGAGGCCATCGAGTCCACGTCATCCACGCCGCGGCCCAGAGTGCCGCAGTATGCCACCTTGGTTACTCCCAGGCCCTTCAACGTCTCCAGGACCGGCCCCTTGAGAGCCGGGTGCGGACCGATCTCGGCCAGCGTGGCGAGCGCATCCTGCTGTCCCGTCCACGAGGCGGCCGCTGTGACAGCCTCGGAGAAGAGGACCGGCTGGACCATGTTCTGGATCCAATACTCGCACTCTAGGCTCTCCGAGCCAGACATGTCATCTCCGCCGTGGACGGACGAGAACCACGGGCAGTGCCTGGTCGGGGTGAGGACGCTGATGTCGCACGCGGCCAGCGCCTCGCGGTACAGCCCGACGCAGGCTTCCATATGGTGCGAGTGGTACGCGGTCTGAACTCTCAGAACGCGGTTGAACTTGTTCTCGTCATCCAGCACGAGCGAGACCTGGTCGACCACGTCTCTATCTCCAGACAGCGTGACGCTCGTCGGGGCGTTGTACGCCGCCACGGAGATGCGGCCTCTCACCGCGTCGTTGCCGCAGAGATCCCGCGCATCCTCGTGCGTCATCCCCGCCGCGATCATCCCGCCCTCGCCGCCCTGCCGACTCCGCGCCAGGTGCGCGCAGAACCCACGCGTGTACGCAATCTTGACCGCGTCCTCGGCGCCGATGAAGCCCGCCGCGTAGGCCGCCCCGATCTCACCACTCGAGTGCCCGACCACGGCGTCGAGCTCCACGCCCGCGGCGCGCAGCAGGTCGACGAGGAGGACCTGGACGACGGTGCAGAGCGGCTGCGAGACGGCGCTCTCCTCGATCCGCGCGGCCTTCTTCTCGGCGAGCAGCTGCGCCTTGAGCGACCACGTCGGACGGTACGCGGCGGGCAGCGCGGCGAGCGCGGCGTCGAGCCGGTCGACGGTGGCCGCGGCCTGCGCGGACCGCCGGAGGAGCTGTCGTCCCATGGTGGCCCACTGAGCGCCCTGACCGGTGAAGACGCCGACGAGGCGCCGGGGCTGCGCGGTCGCGCGGAGGATGGCGTTCTTGGGCTGGCTGAGCATGCCCTCGAGCGTGGCGGCCAGGGCCTCGGTGGTAGGGGCGGGGACGGCCAGTCTGAAATTGAGAGCGCTTCGCTTCTTCAACAGCGTCCAGGCCAGGCTGGCCAGGTCGGTGTCGGGATGCTGGCGGATGTGGTCGAGGTGCTGCTGCAGTAGCCGCCTCAGGGTCTTTTCCGACGACGCGGACAGCAGGAGAGGTAGGACGTTGTAGGGAGCACTCAAAGTACTCGTCTCTGGTAAGGTATTCGAGGCTTGTGCTTCTATGCGCAGTGTCTCACCCTGAACGCTTGGTGAGAAGGCCTCTAGGATGACGTGGCAGTTCGCTCCGCCGAAGCCGAAGCTGTTGACGCTGGCTCGGCGCACGCTGCCGTGCAGCTCCGGCCAGGGCGTGGCCTCGGTGGCTATCTGCAGGTTGCCGTAGTACGGCTTGAGCTCCGGGTTCAGCGTCTGAAAGTGTAGATTCGGGGGGATCGTGCCGTTCTGGAGGGCCAGCGACGCGCGCAGCACGCCCGCCACGCCCGCCGTGCCCTCGGTATGTCCAATTATCGTCTTGACTGAGCCGACATAGAGCGGCTGGTGTGATACGTCTTGTCCTTCTGCGGCAGGGAAGAAGGCGGCGTGGATGGCCCGTGATTCCACCGCATCGCCGGCCTTTGTGCCCGTGCCGTGCGCCTCGAAGTACTGGCACCGGTCCTCCGGCTTGCTGAGGTCCAGCCCGGCGCGGGCGTACACGTCCCGGATCAGCTTCGTCTGTGCATCCGGGTTCGGCATCGTGATTCCCGGCGTGTGGCCGTCCTGATTTATGCCCGTCTCGCGGATCACGCACTCGATATGGTCGCCATCCGCCAGCGCATCCCGCAGCGTCTTAAGCACGACGACGGCAATGCCCTCGCCGCGCGCGTACCCGTCGGCGCGGGCGTCCCACATGTGACACCGGCCCTGCGGCGAGAGCATGTCCAGGTTGGTCTCGGAGATGAAGGGGTCGGCGGAGAGGATGAGGTTGGTGCCGCCGGCGACGGCGACGCGGGAGGCGCCGGCGCGCAGCTCCCGCACGGCGAGGTGGACGGCGACGAGGCTGGAGGAGCAGGCCGTGTCGACGGTCATGGAGGCGCCGCGCCAGTCAAAGGCGTGAGAGAGCCGGTTGGAGAGGATGGCGCGCGAGGTGCCGGTGGCCGAGTAGGTGGGCGTGCACTCGCTGTCGAAGAAGACCATGGTGGTGTAGTCGGCGCTCATGACGCCGACGAAGGCGCTGGTGTCGGAGCCGCGCAGAGTCTCGATCGGGATGCCGGCCGTTTCGAGACCCTCGTAGGTGGTTTCCAGCAGTAATCGATGCTGCGGATCCATGGACTCGGCCTCGCCGGGCTGGATGTTGAAGAACTGGGGGTCAAACTGCATGGGATCGCTCTCCAGCGTGTAGGCCGAGGTGACATTGCTCGCCCCATGATGGTGACCGTTTGTGTGATAGAAGCCTTGGGTATTATAGCGTTTGACCTCTTTTGATAGATCGCGGGGAGACTTTAAAAGCTCCCATAGCTTAGATGGTGAGTTTGCATCTCCAGGGAAGCGACAGGCGCTGCCAACGATGGCAATGGGCTCCATCGTGGTCTTGGACATGCTAAACCCAGGAAAGGAAAACGAATGTATGAGATTGAGTGAAAAAGAAATGACAAAGTAAAGTGAGTATAGCAATTATTCTAGTAAACAGTGGGCTTAAGTAACGAGTGTATACACGACGTCGTTGACAATGTTCGAGTGTGCTTCCACGATCAGCCAGAGAGATGGCTTCTCCGTCCAGCTGAAAAGCGTAAACTTTTGACTGCTACCTGAAACCCAGGATAAACTTTGGTATCAGCCCTTACCTCACCGTCGGTGATTGCACAATGTGCGATTTCTCAGAGTCAGAGTAGGGGTCATCATCTCACCCTCGCAATGACGTTTTGCCGTGTTATGCTGCGTGGTATGCCGCACCGGGGCCCAAGGGCCGTGCGATGCTGCTGCACCGTCTGAAATGTCGGTGCGGGCGGAGCCTCCGAGACGCTGAATCAGGTTTCTGCATGGTCTAGGCTTTGACTTCATCTCTGTCAAGCATGGAACGCGAAATGCCTCAGTGGATGACCACTGCAAGTCGCTCGGGTAGGTAGTGCGACGTGCCAGGTTGTCCGCAAATCCTCGCACATACGAGTAGTTGATACCCGTTACATCCCGTATTTAGCGTTCTCGATTGAAACGAGATACCCGAAACTGAGGTTCCGACGCACTGGAATCGCGAATTGAGAAATACAGGATACAGGATGAGGGGACAAGGTGTTCGGTCAGGGTGGTTCAGTTTCAAAATCCACGATCAGGTAGGATCGGTTCGGAAACGACAATCGCAATGTTTTTTTTTTTCCATTGACTGGGAATGTTGTTTCTTCTTTATGTTTTATTTTAAAAAAGTTCCAGTGCAAAATTAATTACTACTATTTTCTCCGCTGTGTCTGTCAAAGACCTCCAGTAACCTACAGCAAGACCTCCATCAACTCAAAACAGGTACACCAACTAAAGCAAGTACACCAAATAAAGCAAGTACACCAACTAAAGCAAGTACACCAACTAAAGCAAGTACACCAACTTGAACCCCCTAACCTGGCCTTGCCGAATTGCGACAATGCCATCCGGAATTGCATCCAGGCCACCCTCCATGATCCGTAGCGGGTGCGGCTTGAGCGCGTGCACATCTCCAGCCAGCACGGACTCGGCCACCTCGGCCAGCCGCACGCCCCATCTCAGCAGCGCCTCGTCTGGCTCGCACCCGAACGGCTTGGGCCACACGGAGCCTCGCCCCATCAGCGACAGCGTCAGGATCCAGTCCAGCCTGACGGCCTTGCGGCGGACCAGCGTCTGGTCAAAGGGATCGAGGGCGGTGTAGCGGCCGCCGAGCCGTCCCATGGCCTCCTCGCAGGCCAGCACGCTGGACTGGGTGGTCACGCAGTCAAATGCGAAGCTGAGCGCATTGTTGGTGAGCTTCCGGATGTCCTCGACGTGCGTCTCCGAGTTGTAGTCAAACGCCGCCACCGCGCCGTACTGCCTCGCCAGGTCAAAGTGCTTGGCCGAGCACACGGCGATGGGCTTGTGTCCCGCGCGGCGCAGGAACTGCAGCGTCATGGTGCCTGTCGCCGTCGCACCGCCGTAGACCAGCACCCATCGGGCCTGTTCCGCCGTCGCGGTGAGCGACCCCGGCAGCTGCAGCGAGTGGAAGAGCGCGAAGCCCGAGGAGAAGATGGCGTTGCCCATGGCGGCGGCGTCGGCAAAGGACAGGCCGTCGGGCATCTTGATGAGGATCTCGCCGCGGCAGGCGGTGAACTGGGCAAAGGCGCCGACGCGCGGCCGGCGGCGGTCGCAGCCGTCGGTGCACCCGAGGACGCGGTCGCCGACGCGCAGGCTGCGGTGGGCGGGCTGGTCCGGCCCGACGGCGACGACGGTGCCGGCAAAGTCGAGGCCCAGGACGCAGCCGGGGTCGAGGAAGCCGGGCATCATCTTGGTGTCGACGGGGTTGAGGGCGACGGCGGCGACCTTGATGAGCACCGCGTCGGGCTCAATGTCGGGCAGCGGGATGCTCTCGGTCAGCTCGACGCTGCCGTCCGCTGCACCGACGACCACGGCCCGCTGCGTGGTGGGAATTGCAGTTGCAGTCATGTCTGGGGGTTCTTGTTAGTGACGGAGTTGGATTGCAAGGCGTGAATATCTGACGTACCTCTTGAGTTGATAAGTTGGATGATGAATGTCGTCACTCAAGATGTGCTGTTCCTCGTCTATGAGTGATGTGTTGATCCTGGCCTATAAGAGCGACGTGGCGTATAAGACGGTCAAACTGGCGCTGGAACAAGATTCTCAAACAGTTATTGACTGATCTGAGCAGCCTTGCGCACAAACCTTGTCGTGTACGAAATCCTTCTCAAACTGTTCCCCTAACTAGTGCTTGTTCCTTGCGACTTGTACTCGTACCTTGCAACCTGTCCTTGTTCCTCGCAAGTCGTCCAAGTTTGGCCAACATCATCCTGTTTTAACCCATGTCTAACGACAGGGACAGGGACCGGGACAGGGATATGGACATGGACAGGGAACAGGGCCGGCTAGCCATGCATGACGCGCATGAATCTGGCCTTCAGTTACGGTGGCTACAGTGAGTGGAGTGCAACCGTGCAAGCTATCTACCCCGGCCCCCTCGGTCACAGGTCAGTCTTCTTTGGCGACAAGGCTGCGACGATAAGTAAAAGGTACGCATTGACGTACGGAGCTTTCGATCTTTCCAATATTTCCCGGCACGAGATTGGAGCGCTTTGTGGCTAAACCAGAGTCTCATCTCAGCCTCTAGCAGGTTGGCTAACACGCTCAGGTGAGTCCCCGTAGCCTCCTCTCTAGGTAATTTGCTACCCTGCATGCATCTGTATTATGAATCTCTGTTATTACCAGGATTGAAGAAACAATCGTTGGCAAGAAGATCCCCCAGACATAGTAGGTCAATCGTTCAATCGCTCGCTTCCTTTTGTCATTATTACAAATCCGTCACAATTCAGCCATCCCTGCATAATGGCATTGCATGCTGCATACCTCTTTATCGCAGCCACCCTTACTGCTCTCTACGTGGTTCGCTGCATCCGACAACGAAATGCCTTCGACAAGCAGGCGCAGCAACTCGGCTGTGAGCCGCTCACTCTGGCCTTTAACAAGCTGCCATTCGGACTCGACCGCAAATGGCAAATCGTGACGCACAGGGGAAACATCCTCGACGACCTCATCACCACCCGCTTCGCCGAGCTCGGCTGCTACATCTACACGGACAACCAATGGGGCTGTCCGCCCATCATCTGCGCCGAACCGGCCACCATGAAGGCCGTCCTGAGCACCAAGTTCCGGGACTGGGACATGGATAGCAATCGCTACCCGGCCCTCGGCCCTTGGCTCGGTCGCGGCGTCCTGGTCAGCAGCCACCAAGGCAAGGGCAGCCTCTGGGCGACGGCGCGGGCGCTTCTCCGTCCCATCTTCGCCAACGCGGCCACCTACGACTACTCGCTCGTTGAGAAGAGCGTCGCCGACTTTGTGTCTGCCGTGGGCCATGTCGGCGAGAAAGGTGCCCCGACGACGACGGACATCTTGCCGCTCATTCGCCGCCTCAATATCGACATCATCTTGACTGTCTTTTGTGGCGGCAGCATCAGTGAGCTCAAGCCTGCTTCCGCTGGCGTCGGTGCAGGCCCGCAGACGAGGTCGGTCCTGGAGGAGGCGTTTGACGTCATCGAACCCATCGCCGGACTGAGGCTGCAGACGGGAGGGCTTTACTGGATGTTCACCTCGAAGCCATTCCGAGCCGCCTGCGATACCTTCTCGGAGCTTGCCAACGGGTGGATCAACCAGGCACTTTCCAAGACGGACGAGAAGCCTGCTTCGCAGCGAGACTCGGGCGATGCTGCCGAGAAAGAAAGAAGCTTCACCGAGGCGCTGGTGTCCAGCACCGGTGACCGCGAGCTGCTACGCGACATCCTCGTGCAGCTGCTCTTCGCCGGCATCGACACGTCCACCAGCATGCTCTCCTTTGCCATCCTGGAACTCGGCCGGCACCCGCGCGCGTGGGCTCGACTCCGCGCCGAGCTGGCGTCCCACGACCTTTTATTCGGCCCGCCGACATCCGCGCAGCTCAAGGAGTGCACCTTTCTGCAAAACGTCATCCGGGAGACGCTGCGGCTGTACCCGCCGGTGCCGATCAACTCGCGCGAGGCCGTGCGGGACACGGTGCTGCCGACGGGCGGCGGTGCGGACGGGGCCAGCCCGGTGCTGGTGCGCAGGGGTACGTCGCTCAAGTACAGCCCGTACGTGATGCATCGCCGAAGCGACCTGTACGGGCCGGACGCGCTGGAGTGGAACCCGGACCGGTGGCTGACTCGCACGCCGGGCTGGGACTACCTGCCCTTCAACGGCGGGCCGCGCGTCTGCATAGGCCGTAAGTGTAGTTACCCGGCACTGATTTGCCGTGCCGATCTGGAATTTTGTTCTAGAACTTCCTGACTCGCTCTGTGGGAGATGGTGGCTAACAGCTGATGATAGAGAAGTTTGCTCTCGGCAGCGGTCCGTATGTGCTGGCGAGGCTCGCGCAGCAGTTCGATACATGCGAGGCCGTGCTGACTGCAGGACCAATCGAGTCCAAGCTCGGAGCGGTGCTGATTCCCGTTGGCGGTGTGCCTGTCTCGCTCTCTAATTCTCGAGGTTAAGCTGAACAACAAGTCGAGTTTCTGTGGGTACTTGTGCTTGTGGAGGTTCCGATAGTGTAAGAATAGAATATTACTTCAAAATGCATTCGCATTCATTCCAAAATGGGACGCGGGACATTGTTCATGCCGTTGCAGGTTGATGCTTTCAGTGGTCAGTGGTGTCAGCGCGGCCCTCAACTACGCAATGGCCTGAAGCATTGAATCTCCAGCACAGAGCTACGCTCTGCGACTTTGACTGCATGTCATGCATGAAAAGTTAAACAGACTAGCGGTGTTGATATCTTGCTGAGACTAGGAATTAAACTAAAACCATGTTAAAATTACACTGGGCTGGCTACTCCAACGGACCCAGATAGTCATACACGAGCCTCACACGGATGAGATCCTTCTTGTTGTTCAGCACCTCAACGTGGCGAACATAGCGCCGCTCACCGTTGACCGATTTGAAACCGTTGGCCTGCTTCGTCACCGTGTTGATGTTGAGCTGGATCGTCTCCATGAGGATGACCTGGTCGTCCTCGAGCACCATGTCCTCGGCGAGCCAGGCGGACGGCAGCTCGCCCCTCTTGACCCAGCGCGTGCTGCCGCGGATCTTGCCAAAGATGGGGAAGCTGAGCTCCTTCCAGGCGCCGCTGAGGATGCGGTCCTCGCGGCTGTCGGGCAGCCCATTGCTGGACTTGCCCTGGATGACGAGGCGGTCGACGCCGCCCTCGACCGTCTGCGTGATCCAGAGCTCGGCGCCGGACTTGACGAGGACCTTGCGCCAGAGCCAGCTAACGCCCTGGGCCTTGAGCATCTCATCATAGGGGTCTGAGAGGGAGGCGTTCTGGATATTTGTCAGTAAGGGTAGGTTGTCTATTGAAGGTTGTCTGTGGACAACACACCATGCGCCATTTGCCGGTTAGGTTGTGCAGGGTAATGCTTGCGGGAGCAGCCATGGCTATTACTGCTGGGTGAGTCGAGTAGAAGCAGACGGTACTTTTGGGGACAACTTTTTTTGTTTTTCTTTTTGGAATTCTTGACCCTGCCAACGCACTCATTCCTGCTCACTCACTGCCTTGATTGCCTTTATACGAATTGTGGTGCTCCTACTCGGTATGCATTGCATCTGCAGACGCTATGGGCGCTGATTGAGATGAGCCCTTTCGCGTCACCGTTCCCTTGAAAGTCAAATAAAACCAACCCCCAAACCTTTTCGTCAAACCCTTGTCGCGTTCTCGGTCGTAATCAGCAACCGCATTGACGCTCTGACGCATTCACGGTGACAAGGTGGAACCCCTCGGGGAGTCGGAAGTTCAGGCCATGAATGAAGCGTGAAGCGAAGAGCTCCGCACTCCGTGCTCCGTGACTCCGTAGATTGCCATGCATTAGCTCCTGTTGCAGCCCCAATTCCGGTGCGGCTGACGAGATCGAGTTGGTCCCTTGTCTAGGACCTTTTCTGGTGCCTTTCTAGTGCCATCGCGGGAAGTGCGCGCCGCGAGTTGCCGTCCGTGCTTAAGCCCTACAGCCAGGTTGTAGTTACTGTATGTACTGTATGTACTGTATGTATGTATGTCGGTACCTATGTAAGATATTTATTTTTAGCGACACCAGGTACATCGTCCAGCGGTTTCAAGGCACTGTACTAGTTACAGTATGTAGGTGGAACAAGCGTTACTTACTTCTATGAGGATTATAGAAAGAGGACTTTTAAGGACTACAAGATAAAATGTAAGGAAATTGTAAAATAAAAAAAATAAAAAGAAATCAGAGAACAAGGTTTTAAATATTTTGATGGAATTCTAACAAATTTCAATCCTTGCAACCAGTCCTTGCTACTCAAGGCCCGCCCTCCTTTGAGCCTACTAGTTAGTAGTACTGCGTTGGTGTCTCTACAGCGTTTCAAGTACCCGCATCTCCCACCGTTAAAGTGGCTTTCCACTGCTACGGTCAGGCTCACTTACACGACAGCCATTCATTTCGCGTTTCTTTGCCCATATTTCATGCGTGCCCAGTGTCAATGATCATCGAACAGTGGTTGAATACTCATCGAATTCTGTCAAATTTCTGATCAATCCCCATTGCATTGACATGCAGCGACCATGAACTCCAACCCCCAACAGACCCTGCTGTTGAGCCAGGTGCCTTGCCTCGGAACAGAGGTCAAGGGAAAGTCGACGACAAATGCATACCACGAGGTCAAGACTTACCTCAACTGCCGACTGGACGATGAAGATGCCATCTTGAGCGCATTTGCTCGATTCATCGCAGGAATCGCCGACACCACTCAGCCGTACTTCCATGCTCAACTCCCCGGAGGCGGCTGGCTCGTGAATTGCGAGAGTGCATTTGCGGCCACGGCGGATTCGAAGCCTAATTCGCTGGAGCTTCGGAAGCAAGACGTTCAAGGCCTGCAGGGCGATTACTTTTGCATCTCCGTATCAAAAGGTGGAATTGCCGCGGGCGTCTCGCAGCCCTCGGGCGCACTCCATCTCACTGTCGCCCCAGATGGCGACGTGTCTGCAGCCGGCTTGACTTTGAGGCTGCGTATCAGCCACGGTCCGCTGGACGCTGCAACGCATCTGCTCAAGTTAATAGCATCGCTGTTAAAGCTAAGCAGCCCTCAGCCTACATTGTTGAGTCGCTTCAATGTCGGCATCGGACTCGAGTCACAAGGACAGCTCGGCCTCGGCCAGTCAATCAATCAACTACTGACCAGTGGCATCGGTGGTGACGATGCATCTCTTGTTCAGACCGCTTTCGAGAGACAAGTTCAAAGTCGGCCAGACAACATCCTTATAGAGTACATGTATCGCGATGAAGAGTCGTCACTCGAGTGCTCGCAACACCTGACGTACAAGGATGTGGACGTTCGAGCTACGGCGCTGGCAGAACAGCTCGTGGAAATCGAGCGGTATGCCGACTGGCAGCCCATGATTGAGCAGCAGCGTGCCGTGCCAGTACTACTGCCCACATGCCCTGAGCTCATAATTGCCATTCTGGGAATATTGAAAGCCGGGTATGCCGCCTGCCCTCTGGCTCTGGATCGACCTGCTGAGAGCTTGCAAGAGGTTCTAGACGATCTCAACGCCGTGCCGGTCATTGGCCTTGGGAAGAATCCCCTGCCAATGGCTAAGCGGGGCAGCAACAACTCACGACAGTCCTCCTCCGGCACCTTCATCTGGATTGACATGGACAATGTGAGCGGGTGGAGGACCGGCCGGATCTCCACGGCGTCCATCCCGCGACCGTTGTCGGCGCCGGCAGCCAGCGACGTCGCGTACGTCATCTTCACCAGCGGCTCGACGGGCAAGCCCAAGGGCGTCCTCGTGCCGCACAGCGCAATGGTGGCCTCCATCTCCAACTTTGCCCGCCGCGTCGCGCACCTGCCCACCGGCCCGCGCCTGCGGTGGTTCATCATGAACCTCCCCAGCTTCGACGCCTACCAGCTCGACGTGCTGCACGTCATCCTGCGCGGCGGCACGCTGTGCATGGCCGAGCGGAACCTCGTGCTCACGGACGTCGAGGGCACCATCGACCGGCTGCGCGCGACGGCCACGACGACCGTGTCCAGCCTGGCCGTCATCCTACGCCCGGAAAAGGTCCCGACGCTGCAGACCATCGTCGCGGGCGGCGAGATGCTGCACCAGCAAGTGGTCGACAATTTCGGTCAGAGGGATGCCCCGGCGAGGGGGAAGAAGCGAGGCCAGCAAACCCGCCATCTCATCAACGGCTACGGCCCGACGGAAACCGCCATCGTCGTGGCGACGGAGGACATCTCCGTCACGACGCGCGGTAGCATCATCGGAAGCGCCCTGCCGAGCGCCATCATCGTCATCATCGACCCGCAGTCGGAATCCGCGCAGGAGCTGCCCGCCGGTGTCGCCGGCGAGCTCGCCATCGGCGGGCCGCAGCTCAGCCGGGGCTATCTCAACCGACCGGTGGAAACTGCGCAGGCGTTCGTCACGCACGACATCCTGGGTCGGCTGTATCGCACCGGAGACAAGGCGCGGGTGGTGTGGACCGGCGACGGGGAGCGCAAGATCGAGATCCTCGGCCGGCTCACGCTGGACCAGGTCAAGATCAACGGCCGCCGCATGGAGCTGGGCGAGGTCGAGTCGTGCCTGCTCAACGTGGCCCAGGTGCGCGAGGCGGCTGTCGTGGTCGTGCAGAACAGCATGCTGGCTGCGTTCCTGGTGCTCCGTCAGGACGGCGGCGGGGATGCGGTCAAGCTTGCGTGCAAGCAGCAGGCGAGCAGTCAGCTTGCGCCCTGGATGTGTCCGGCGAGCTACCATGTGGTGTCAAGCTTGCCGAGAACCCCGAATGACAAGGTTGACAGGAGGAAGCTGACGCGTTCCATGGAAGAGATGGGTGTGGTCAAGGATGAACAGCCGCCTCTACCCCAGGCACCTCTGCCCCAGGCGCCCCTGCCACAAACTCATCATCCAAATAAGATTCTTAACGGGGACAGCTTGGCGGATGAGAACAACGGAATCAGCAGGACAAGAGCTTTGAATGGCAACGAGACTCCCATGAAAGTAAGCGCTCTCAATGGGATAGAGCGCATTGAGCATACCGAGCCGTCCCAACCAGCCGCTGCTGCAGAGCCACGGACGTCCTTCATCTCATCCAGCACACAACCAGGCAAGAGCACGGAGGAGACTGCGGTGGATTTGGTTTACAAAGGCCTCGCTGCAGCCGTAGGAGAGGGCGTGCGCAGTCATCCTCAAGAGACGCCGATATCCAACATTGGGCTGGACAGCATCCGCGCCATGACGTTTCTGCGCACACTGCGAGCCAACGGCGTCACGGGCTTGGCCATACTGGATGTCTTGTCCGCGGGAAACATTAGCGATGTCATAACCAAACTCCGGACAGTCCTGATTCAAGAGTCACTGAACGGAGTCTTTGGTTCAGAGAGGCCAACGAGCGTCGCTGGTACAGCTCGCAATAGCATGTCGCCTTCGGACGCGGGCGGCGTCAGAGATGCAACAGCCACCAAGGGTCATGATGCCAGCGAGTATACAGCAGGAGACCGTCTTTCCAAAATCATGACTCCCGATGCTACCCCTCCAGATGGAAATTCCGTCGCGTCTCTCACAGAGAACCTCAAGTCCATCCCCTTGGACGACGAAGACGCCATCTACGAGCTCAGCCCCCAGGCCAAGATCTGGCACTACAACTACCACTGCCGCGGCACCTGCGCCCAGGCGCTGAACCTGCGAGAGCAGGACATCGAGCAGGTCCTCCCCGCGACGGGCATCCAGATGCGCCTGCTGCACCTGGCCACCGATCCCACCTACAGCGACCCGCAGCGCTACCAGGGCAAGCCGCAAGTCGACCACGTCGTGTACCGGGTGCCCCCCGGCATGGACGCGGCCCGGCTGCAGCGCGCCATCGAGACCGTCGTCAGCCGGCACGAGATCTTCCGGACCCTCTTCGCGCCGACCAAGCACCCGCTGGCCGAGTTCGCGCAGGTTGTGCTCGTCGCGGACTCGCCGCGCGCGGCGCTGCAGACGCGCACCCTCTACGTGGAGGGCCCCGGCGACGACAACGGCGCCGAGTGGAAGCAGAAGCTGGCCGTTGCGCAGGAGGACGCGGAGCGGTCGCTGGCGCTGGACACGCCGTCGATCCGCGTGGCGTACGTGCAGTCGCTGGACGAGCGGCGGTGCGTGGTCGTCTTCTCGCTGTTCCACGCCGTCTACGACGGCGTGGCGTTCCGGCTGCTGCGCGCCGCGGTGGCCGCCGAGTACGCGGGCGCGGAGCTGGCCGGCGGCGGCCTGCTCCCGTTCCGCGCGGCGGTCGAGCGCCACCTCGAGGCCGACTGGCTCGAGACCATCCTCTTCCTCATGTCGCGGTACGCCAACGTGCCCGCGTTCCGCACGGGACGGCTGCGCCCGCGCGCCTCGCTGACGCGCGAGTACGACGATCTGCACTACCGGCTGTACCCGTCCGTCTCGCACATGCGGCGCTTCTCCATCCGCTCGCGCGTCACGCTCGACGATCTGATGGGCCGGACAAGGTCCTCGGGCCTGCCCATGTCCGGCCAGGCGGTCGCGCAGGCCGCGTGGGCCAAGATGCTGAGCCAGACGCAGCGCGCGGGCAGCCCGCAGGCGGACGCGCAGGGCGGCGCGCCGACGTACGTCGAGTTCACCACGGCCGTCCACGGACGCTACTCGGACGAGGCCCGGCGGACCATGGGCCCGCTGCTGGCCGGCCTCCCGATGATGGTGCCCATCTCGGACATTCGCGCGCAGAGCAGGACCAACAGGGACGTCTGCAACGCGCTCGCCGTGCAGCACCAGCAGCTGCTCCGGCACATGGCCATGCCCTGCCCCAACGTGGAGATGGCCCAGGTCGGCATGGACCGGGCGGACACGGGGCTCGTGCTGCAGATCCACGACCTGGAGGACGAGGACGGCGGTGACGCGCGGACGAGGCTGCCGGACTTGCCGCTCTTCCACCACGACCAGAACGTGCTGCCTCCGTACAAGCCGCTCGACACGGGCTTCGTCATCATGGTCGAGGTGTGGCCGGGAGTCGCGGGCGGCGACGACAACTTGACGCTCATCTGCAGCTACAACAGCCAGCGCCCAGGCTACGACTTTTTGTCCCGCTCTTGGGTGCTCAGTGCGGTGGTGAGCTTTGATGAGGCGATGGCTGATATCCTTGAGAACCCCGAGTCCTCCTTTTGTGCAGGCCCGGTTCTTGTAAATGGCCATGAATGAAGTATCAGTTGCTAGAAGCGGGAGTTTTCACTGTATTGCTACATGCCGCGCTAATTAATCATTTGCTTTCAGTATTATCCATTTTGGCGCAACTTCTTTCATTTAATTTCTTCTTGTTGGATTGTAAAGGAAAAAGGTCAAGGGATCTGATTCGTGCAGGGTAGCAATGCTGAAGAATGAGCAACATGTATAAAGCAGGGAAAGTGAGACGCCGCAGTTGCCCACATGAAATTTTTATTACTATTTCAGGGAGCTCCCAGAGAATGCCTCCGTAGGTATACATAGCTTTAATTAATATAGTCGCGAATTAAGGATTCTCTGCCTGGAAGGTTTTGGACTCGGTCGGCTCCATATCGGCCGCCACGAGTTCCAGAGGTCCATAATAATATCTGTAACCGTAAAAAAGCCAAAGCACAGCCGCGAATAACATGGTGGCGCCGATAATTGTCGATGCATAGTTCCTATGTGTTTCGCGCTGTTTAGTACATCGTTGCTGTGGTGTAAGTGAGCGGCATGGGAGACTCACATATCTTGTGCAGTAACAGGATAATTGACAGGGAACGAGACAAACAAGACCATGAAACAGCCAAAGAAGAAGGCTATCAAATGCACCGGGAAAGAAAATCTGCCCATGTTGAAAGGTCCCTTTGCTAGGTCTCTTTTCCACCATGCCGTGTAAAAGACATTGATGCCGATAGGCACAATATAGGATAGCTGGAACGCAACTAGGACCAGGGTGAGGAATCAATCCACGAAATCCACTGGTTGACCAATATATTGACCTCAACACGCGTCAACGTCAACCCACGACTTGAATTGTTACATAATCAACCAATCCACGGTGCTGCGCATTTTGATGGACGATATGGATGGATTGACCAGTCGTCCAGCATCGCGAGAAACGGAAGCTCTGCTGCAGGGTAAGAGGCCAACCTAAGTCGCTCGCTGGGGCCGACGTAACACTAGTTGTCGGCACTATCCACCCACTACAGTACGGCGGGCGCGCCTTGTCGCGTCCTGCGACGCGTCGCCATTTTAGGCCACCTGCAACACGAGGCGACTGGCAGCTGAAACATGGCCGAGCCAGTAACTACCAACATCGAACCTAAAACACCAGCTAGCGATGATACCCCGCACGATGCTTTACTGCTCCCGAGGCTTGCCCTTCTAGACGCGGGAAAAATTCCTTTGACATCCTGGACGCCATCCTCAGATGAGGAGCAGCGCATATTCCGCGTCTGGAAGGGCTTCACACTAGCCGAACGAACCAAGGATACGGTGTCTTGGATATGGGACTACGGCGTTGAGATTCAATCAGAAGCGTCCAGGCGATGGATCTGCATGCCGTGCGTGCGCCAAAAAGCATCATCACCACAGTCATACGAATCAAGAGGCACACAGAATGCCGAGCACCACCTCTGGAAGTCTCACGGCTACTGGGATCCGTCAGGACGACGACGAACGCCACTGCAGACGAAAGAGGGAAGGAAAGCCTTCGCATCGATCACAGACCTCATGGGCCTCAAACGTTTGGAGCCTAACGACCAGGCCCTGGCGAACAACCTAATCCGACGATTCGATCAAGCCGAGTTCCAGAAGCTGGTGGTGAACTGGATAGTAGAGAGCCAGCAGTCATTCAGGCAGGTCGAACATCCACGTCTGCGACAAATATTCGAATACCTGAATCCTGCGGTGCGTATCAAGGATGCGCATGTTACTGCTAAGACTATCCAGAGCTTGGCTATTCAGCAGTTCGAGCGCCATCGCGATGCCGTTCAGCATGCATTGAGGAGGTCTCCGGGCCAGATACATATCGCTTTCGATGGCGCGAGGACCAGAAACCGTCACGCATTATACGGCGTGACGGCTGTCTTCCGAGATGAGGACAACCAACTCCGAAAGCTTGTCCTGGGCATTCCGGAGCTGGTGGAACGACACTCCGGCGAGAATATCGCTGCTGAGATCCTTGACATTATTCGCTCCTTCGGCATCGAGGACAAAGTGGGTTACTTCACCCTCGACAATGCAGCGAACAACGACACGGCGATGCGCGAGATCGCGCAAGAGTTGCACTTCGATCCGGTGCGACGGCGCGTTCGATGCGTTGGCCACATTCTCAATCTCGTCGTCAAGTCCCTTCTGTTTGGAAAAGATGTCGAGGCGTTTGAGGACACCGTCGCGAAGGGCGAAGCACTGGCAAGGGCAGCGCACGACACGTGGATGCGGAGAGGCCCCGTCGGCAAAGCTCACAACTTTGCCATTTGGGTCCATCGGTCGGATGTTCTGACGCAGTTGCTTCGCCAAATCCAACAAGACTCGTATGCGGCAGCTGACGACGCCGAAGTTGGGAAGCAACGGCCAGTCGACGTGGTTATTGACAACGATACCAGATGGCTATCCCAATACTACATGATCAAGCGGCTGTTGCGACTGCAGCCTTTCTATGAAGAGTTCATTGCTAAAGCAAAGAGAATCTTCCGAGATGGCCGGAGAGGAGAGGTAGGCCGGAGGTTTCCTCCTTGTCTTGAGGAGTCAAGCTTCCTCACCGAGAACGATTGGGCGGTGCTCAGGACTTTTGACGAGATCCTCTCGGACTTCCACGTGGTTGTACAAGCGCTCCAGGGCGATGGGCAGCCGCGTTGTCGCGCCTCCGGCATACGAGAGACCTTCGGTTCGATGACTGACGTGCTAGAGGCATTTGAGTTCCTTCTGAGCAAGCTGGAAGACGCAAAGTCGCAGATCGAGACGCATCCCGAGCCGGAGCATTTTGGCATTAACGTCAATCTTGGCTGGATGAAGCTGGACAAGTACTATAATACCTTGAGAGACACGCCGGTCTACTACGCTGCCGCTGCTTTGCATCCTGGGCTGCGATGGACTTATTTTGACGAGATTTGGGGCCGGCACCACCCGGAATGGGTTGAAGAAGCGAAGCAGATTGTGCAGCAGCTCTGGAGCAATGAATATAGTAACCTGCAAATCACAGTCGCATCCACTGCCGATGGGCCAGCGCTAAAAAAGCAGAAGACTGTGCTGTCCTCATTTGATAGGTACCGTAATAGACACCGGCAAAGCAATGCACCCACTGCCGGAGCAGATGAATACGCACGCTGGCAAGCTAGCATGTCGGAGCTGGACAGAGATGTGGCTGACCCGGTGGAGTATTGGCACCTGAAGAGATTCGAGTATCCTAAGCTGTCTCGAATGGCACTTGATGTGATGACAGTGCCGGCCATGAGCGCAGAGTGCGAGAGGCTGTTCTCGGCAGCAGGGCTAATGGTTACTCCGCTGCGGAACAGGATGGATGCAGGAACAATTGGACTTATCCAAACCTTACGCTCGTGGCTACGCGCGGGAATAATCAAGGATGTTGACAATATACTGCTGGACAGGGCTGTATCAATGGGGCTTGGGGAGGATTGCTCAACGGAGGAGTTTCGAGGATGAGGCGGGGTAAGGGGGTTTCACGATAGCTTCAAAATTACTCAATTAGGAAATCGATGTGGAGACGACATGGGTCCTCAATATTGTGGCCATCAACCCACGAGAAGGCTTCGTGGACTCAACCCACGACAGCGCTGCTGAGTAAGCTGTCAATTCCATCCACGACAAGCACTCGTGGACGTGGGTGGATTGATTCCTCACCCTGACTAGGACACCCGCCATCAGACCGTAGAATGCTGTCGTGTTCCAGATATAAATGATAAATACGGCAATTGAAGGTAACAGTAAAACAAGGTTGGCTAGTACTGGCACACACAGCCGTGGGTGCAGCTTGGCGAAGGCCGCAGGCAGGGCGTTGTCGCGAGCCATGCTCCAGATGGCGCGGGATGCAGCGCCCCAGAGGTCGAATCCGGCAGCCATGGCCACGGCAGAGCTTATGCAGTTGAGGAAGCAGGATAGGCCGACGTTGGAAGTGCTGTTGATCAGGATCTGCGTGAATGGACTCATAGTCCCGATGGGCGAGGCAAGTACCTCGCCAACATCACCGATACAGAAGAGAACTGCAATAATGAAAAAGAAAGTCATCAATGCTGTAGCACCAGCCTGTAGTACCACTGTATTAGACAAAGTGATGGGTCAGCGCGTCACTATACATCGCAAAGGCTATAGTCGCCTCCGCCGTGGTGGAATGCGTAGCTTACTTGCTCGAGGGACGAGGATATTCGCTCCCTGTATCTCTTCACTGAAATGGGTCACAGTGTCGAGAGAAAAGTAGGCGTATAGTGCAGAAAGAAGGCCGATAGACCAAGAAACAAAGTTGCTGTCCCAACCAGTGTGGTTCTGGAAGCTCGTGAATACATATGTGGCGTCGTGCTTTTCTTTGGTGTATCCGAGTAGGACGCCAATGACAATAACGTAACCGACTACGTGAAGAACAAGAACTGAAGGTAGGACTCTGTGTCAGAAAGTTGGTGGAGAATAGCGAGCGTCTGGCTCTTGGGCTATGGGAAACCTACCTGCTGTGTTCATGTAGTGCAAAAACTGCACGGCGAAGATGTTGATGATGGCCCAGCACGCCATGCAGGCAATGCAGATCTAGATATTCAACATCAAGCAGTGTCCGGTGCTAGAGTGGATGGATTGGTCCTCACCAAGAATGCATGCCAAGTCTTTGGATCATACCCTGTGGTCACCATCGCGTAGGACTGGATCTGAACTGCGACACCCATGCCACATGATAAGGCGCCTAGCCAAAGACCAGCCACGCCCAACCATGCAGTCGTCCAACTCTACCACGCAATCAGTCGGCGAAGAATCTCTTGTCAGTAGCGAGCGGTATCCTGACTCACCAACAGGCGAGAGTATTTCGCCGGAGCGAGTTTGGCTGCCCAAACGTACTGACCCCCAGACGAAGGCCACATGCTATGAGCGATACTTTTTGTTAGCGACGGCCAGGAGAGTAGATGTAGAGTTGCGTATAAAAGAAATGACAACCTTGCAAATTCGGCCAGGGCACAGGACATGCAGACGATTCCGACTGAAACGAAGACCCAGCC